GAAAAACCGCCTGCTATTTGCTTGTAGTGTATTATATTTTAGTTGAAGCTTTTGGGTATTTATACTCTGTTTTGGTTTTCTGATTCAATTGTGATTACTTCAATAGACACTGAAATATAATGTAAGCCACGTCCCTTGAGCGGACAACGATTTTTTTGAGTGCACATTGGTTGTATCGCGAATGAAAAAATTTCATGAAAAAACCGCTTGCACTTTTTTTTTTATTTTTTTTTGTCTCTGGGGTCGTTCTGTGTTTAATATATATTTTTTAGTGTAACAATTATTGTGTTTTATGTGATTAAAATATGGTTATGTAATTAAGCATTGCAATTAGCTTAGCAGTAGCTAAGTCTCTCCACTGAGACTAATATATTTCTTCCAGTGCATTTATTTTAAAACATGAATGAAAGTACTCGAATTGCTTATATGTTTATGGAAATATTTACTTACTTCTTGACAAATGCTTACCTAGTGCTTTTTCTAGAACGCCAATGAAAAATTCAATGGAAAAACCGCTTGCACTTATAAATCTTATTTAAATGCCAAAAACACGAAATGAAGCTTTTGGGTGCACTGGGCATTAAACCTTATCCCTGCTTGGAAGCTTTGGGTGATTTGCCTAATTGGCTTTCAATTTAACTATTATCTATAAACAACCATTTGCTGAAAGTAAAAATTACGAAATACCTTATTTGATCAGTGTATTTTGTTGTATTCAGGCATACAAGTACCGCAGTTGTGTGTTTGTTTGAAGGGGAGATCGGAGATCTCATAATTCTGTTTTTTGGGAGAGGTGGGGGCCATGCAACTATTATAAGAATCTGCAAACTAAATTAGCAAGTAAAAGAAGTGTGGATTAAATCGAAATCATGCGTGTTAAGAGGACTGAATGGGAAAGCGTGCTAGTGTGCATGTATTTAGACTCTAAGTGTTCTATGGTTAGATATATTTCTATATACTATTATTTTCGATAAGCAACTCTACAGATTATTGTATGTTACAGTACCTTTGAAGACTGTTAAGTTGTTGTGATTGGTGTTTCGTTACAGTGATGTTTAGAGCCAACTTGCCAAGTTGCAAGCTGGGATCTATTGACAGATATGCTGTATTGGCCATTTTGGAGCCAAGGTTTTTCAGTTAATTTTATCTTAGGCGCACACAGTGAACACTGGGTATGAGGATCGGGGCGAAATCAAAACTTCTGTGTGCCTTCGATAGGTTTTTATGTACTACGCTCGGCATTGGCTTAGTTTTGCTAATGGTTTTCGGTTTATATTGTTGGTAGGCTAGGTTTTTTTAGGGTCTCTTTATTATTTTTTGATTTTGTATTATAATAGTAATCGTAATTATTACCGGTTCTACATCGTCATCTCCATATTCTCTTCTGCTTGCTGTTTATCATCGAAAATTGTTCGCATTTTTCTCGTTTTGTTGGTTTTTTTCGGTATCGTTTAATTTACATTTATATAATTTACACATGCAGCAGAATATAATATGTTTTGTGTTCTGTGATCTTTTCAACTTTTATTTGTAGCGCATATTACACAATGGCGCGATACATTTAGATATAGGTATGCATATCCTTTCTTCGTCCTCCATAAATTCAAATTGATTAATAACATTTATATATATGTAGGTATACATGTTGCTATATAATTCTCATAAATAATTGTAGCATGTTTAATGTTATATGTATGTTTAAAACACTTAAATTGCATAGATTAATTAGTTTTGCACAAAAAACCTTTAATAGGTATGCTCCATGTTCTTTTTCTTCGAGTGTCGGTGTTCGGTGTATTTTATTTACTTGATTCATTTATCAATAATCATTTAACATTTTCGCTTTTATCAGTTTAAGTACATTTAGATATTAGTGGCCTCAGCCAGCATAATTTTTTGCTGGTTTTTACCTTTTTTTTTGCTTTTCTCGTTTATTTTTTCGTCATCTTTTGCTTAATAACACAAATCGTTGCCAAGTGGCTAAATAGATATATATTCTGTATGTAGCATATTGTATACACATCGATATTGTTAAATGTTTCGCTTATCATCTAAATGCCTCCTTAATAGAATAATTTATTTTGGTTTTCCAAAAATGTATGAAAGCCTGCTCGTATTGTTTTCATTAATTTGCTTACTCCATAATTAATTGAAAAAGACAGCAACAATTTTCATTTGCATGCTGATCAATGCTTCATATATTTCCCACATTTTTGGTGCCTGTATTGTGCTTTTGTATTTATTTGTATTTGTATATTATCATCCGCGGCCACCAAACTCAATCCCCTCAAAATAAATAAGTAAGAACGGTGAGATGGTGAGTTTGGTTGCCAGTGTCTGATAAGTGTTTGTAAGTGTTCTCGGTCCAGTAAAATGTCGTAGTTCCTTTTTATTTGGAAACCTGTCTCCATCACTTGACTTCTTCCTTTGAGGGAACAGATCCTGAAGTTGCCGCCCGGCGATCATACTTATTTATGAATCTCATTGTGTAGGCCTAAGACTAAATTCCGTCCGATCGGTCAGGTCCGGTAGTAGTTGGGTATCTGAGTCTGGTCAGGATTAGCTGCTAGTCCGGAGTTAAATGTGCGTATATACAGCCTGTTCTCGGGTCTCGGTCTCTGGTTCTGTGGGGTCCGTCCTCTTGTAGGTGGTCGGGTTATGTTTCTTTAGGAACTCAAACCATTTTGTATGCCTCGTTCTGGGTTCGTGACGTCAGTCGGTCGGTCTATGGTTGGTCGTCTTCTCCATCTGCTCCACCTCATCATCTGATCTGTTCTGATCCTCGGGTAAGTCGGTTAACAACCTGATCTGCCCCGTTGAAAGTTAAAAGTCAAGTGCCGGCCAGGAACCATTTGTCTTAAACGGTCCACTTTGTTGTGGATTCTGTCGGCTTATTTATGTCCTCATTTTCGATTTATTCTTTTTCTGCTTCCATTCTTATAAATAATAATTCAGATTTCGTTTTAGTTGATTTTGTTTTTTGTATATCTATGTTACACCATCAATGAAAATAGATTTTTGGGGGAAATGATGAAATGCTTGTCTTGTGTGCATCTACCCTTTTTATACTGGGTATTCTTACACGCAATAGGTACGATTTTATATATATTTATATACGTTTATTTTAATGGAAAAGTCCGTTAGACATTTATGCATTAATTGTATAATTAGTTTTATATTATATGTAAGTTCCTTTCAATTTTCTACGCATGGTTGTTGTTTCTTCCTCGTTAATCGTTAACACTTTTATGTTTTATTTTATGGTTATGTCGAAATATACATCAATAATTGCCTTTATATGCGATTGACTATAATACGATACATTTACGTTGCTTGTTAGTACACTTATTTAATTTGTTTTCGTCGAAGAACATTTGAATTGAAATTGTCGTAGTTGTATTTGTATGTATTTTAATTAACTTTGAAAAACGTTGCTTCAAGTACTCGAAAATCAATCGAAAAACTCACTACTAAATATTTTGCTCTAAAACAATTATGTTTAACTATTCTCATATTTTGTTTTTTCTACCACGTTAATAATTTTCATCATATTTTTTGCAAGCCCTCTGGTTGTTGTTCGGACTTGCCACAGTTATTGTAATATTGTTTTCTCATTTGCTTTTATTTGTTGTGTAGTGTCAGTTGTGTTTTTGTTATGTTCAAACGAAGGAAATGTTAATAAACTAAAAGTTTGCGTCGAGATAATAATTTTTCGTTTTCGTTTTCTTTTCTTTTTGTTTTTGTTGCTTAAATTTAGCTGAAATGTATCTTATCTTTGTCGTCTTGGAATATTTCGAACTACGATAACTCATTTTCATTATGTTTAAGTTCCAACTGCTACGTAAAACTGTTAAGTATGGTATTATTTAATTGATAATTTTTTTTGGATATTTCTTTGCTAATTTGCAGCACTTGCACTTACGTCCTCCTCAATCTGAGCTTTGTATTTTTTGCGATTTTCATATATTTTTTTTCTTATCGGGTGCCTTAAATCGGTAGTAGTGTAGTCGGTAGTTGCGAATCGCTAGTCACTGTATCTTTGTGGCCGTTCCCTGGGTTGTGTTTTGTATAGTGTGTCATGCGGTCTCTCGACGGCATAGTACCGTGTGATTCTCTAGATATTTTGCGTGGTTCGTTTCCTGTTTGTCCTGATTCGTTCTGGGTCGTCTCTGGATGCGATTCTGGGATGTTCCTACCAGTATACCAGGGCGTCTGCAATGCTGGGGAATTGCATAACCCCGGTATAACCTTAAACTATATATTTTTTTTGGATTTTTGTAATGCTTATTTTCTTTCTTCATGATTCTCTGACTTTGTTGTGGCACATACTCTAACCGCACGCGAAGCTCCAACCTCTCCCAGTAACCCCCTCCGCTCCCTGGCCCCTAGCTGCCTCAGGTTGGTGAAGTAGATCATGAGATCATGAAGTTGAGACCGAGGGACACGGATTGGCCGGCAGGAACTGGAGCTTCGGAGCGGCTCCTCTGACATTTATGGTCCTAATTAGATAATATATGAATATAATAATATAATAATAATAGTATATGATATAATCAACTGCGAAGGGTAAAAAGTGTAGCTTACGTTTAGGAGCGATTGATAACTTAACCATTTCTTGACTTCGCACACACACATATGGCCTGGTAAAACAGTACTCGGTTCGCTTCGTAGACCGAGTACATGTTGCGATTATATATCGTTGATAATAATGACATTCACCATATTGTATATGAATAATATATATTGTATACAAATATATTTGTTAAATGTGATTATATCCTTGTATAATTAATTGTCATACACATCAATAGGTTGCTCCTCACTAAACTTTTCGCTTCCTCTTCATGTTGTAAATAGAATTTAGTTAGGTACAAATTTTGCATTCTTCCATTTCTTGTATATGTCTGTCTCTTGTATATGTATCATGTGTGTTTTGTAGTGGGTTTAGTAATGTCTGATGTATAGTGTAATTGTTTTCAGTGTTCTAGTGATGCTGTTTCTGCTGTTCTGTTCTGTCTGGCTTGGCATATGTATACCGTTCAGCGATTGTTGTCGTTCGTTTGCTGGTTTTTCAAGCACATCGATTAGAGTTTAAGTTTAATGCCAACATCGATATCGATAAATGTACGAGTAAGTAAAATGCCTCATAATTGAATCCAATGCTTAACACCTAGACATGTATATAAGTATAAGGTATGTATGTAAATATTTCTTGTATATCCTTTAACACTCAAATATGGTATTATATATCGTGCGTTTCTATAGTTGCTTGCACCGCACAATTGCCTCCGGAACGGAGATCCCCCCACATGGACGCACCCCTGGTCTCACGGGCTGGTGCAGACCGGGGCAGCGTGGCACGTTTAGGATGGGATCCCAGGACATCCCGGCGATCCTTGTGCTTGGTCGGCGCGGTGTAGATAACTGAAAATAGCAAATCCTTCTACTGACAATCTCGTGAAGCCTTTTTCGAACCTTCCAAGTGCTCACGCCAAATCAAAATCGAACTCAAGTCAATTTCTAACTATAACAAACGGAAAAAAGACCCCCGAAACGCTGCAACAATCATTAACCTGAGGCTTAACCTTCAATCCGATCCAGGATCGGATTGGCTTACTTCTTCGCCTGCTTCGCCGGTTTGGCCGGCGTCTTTGGCTCGGCCACCTTGGCCTGATCCTTCGCTGGCTTCTCCTCCTTCTCCTTCTTGGCGGCGGCTGCGGCTGCGGCTGCCTTGGAACTGCTGGTGGGCACCTCCTCCTCGGCCGCCTCCTGCGCCTCGTCCTCCTTGAGAGGCTCCTTGGTGGTGCTGCTGCTGTTGTTCGAGCTGCCGTTCCCGCTGCCCACCACGGGCTCCTTGTCCAGTTCCCGCTTCTCGGCGGAAGTGTTTGCCGGCAGAGCCTTCAGGATCGCGTGCACCTCCTCGGCCACGGCCATCAGCACGAACTCGAACTGCTGCCTGGTGGCCACCATACCTGCTCGCTGGTCACGCAGGTGCTCCAGGGTGGCGGCAATGTCCAGCTCACGCGCACCCTTGTTCATCCGCTCGAGCACCAAGTCCAACAGGATGTAGGCACCCGTCCGTCCGGCGCCGGCACTTCCGTGCACCACAATGGGGCAGGAGCGACGTCCCCGATACGATTTGTTCACCTTCCTGGGGGCGGGAGATAAAATGGGGGATTTTTAGGAACGAATATTAAGATCAATAAGCGTCTTTATCAATATAACTTTAAATTTAAGAAGATTCTATCATAAAAATTACTAAACATGATGCAAAAATATTTTAAAGCTAAATAGTTTGATTTTCAATAGGCATTTATATTTAAATAGCACAAAAAACTGTATATTTTGTGACTATATTATTTAATAAAATTGTACATTTTTAAGAAACTATTTTGGGAACAGTAAAACCCTTCATATAATAAAATAATAAAACATACTTAATGAGATTGTAGTGATACACTGTATCACTGTATTACACTTATACACTGTAAATATTTATAAAAAGCCCTAATAATTGTGGACAAATGAACTTAATAAGCATAATTTATTTCAAAACATATTCACTTACCTTCTGAAGTCCAGCAGAGCCTTTGCCTGGACAGGAACACCCATGAGGGGCCAGGAGAGGAAGTGGAACTGGGTGACCGTTCTGGTTTCGCTAGTGCGCAAATTCTTCAGGTAGAAAGAACGTACGAGGTAATCGTCACACCAAATGTGTTCACTAACAAGGTGAACCTGTATAGCAAATAAGTGTTTAATAAGTTGAATGATATATTTCTATATCCTGATCACTTTACCTCATAGATGTGATAGACCTCGGCACCTTCTTCCGGCCAATAGCGCGCACAGGACACCTCCCCGTTCTCCTGCAGGCGGCAGAGGGCCACGATGACGACGGCCCCCTGCTCCCAGATCATCTGCCAAAAGTGGGCCAAGGTCGAGGGCAACGGACCCTGGGCGGCCACATAGGCGGGGGCACGTGGATCATGATCGGTCTGTGGAATTAGGCATTATAGGTAAGTTAAATGATATTATATTATTAATTTAAAATGCAAACTTACAATCGTTGATGCATTTACATAGTCGAGTCCCTCGGCGTTGGCCAGGTGGTTCAGCACTACGCGCGAGTGGTCATAGGGCAAGGGAGCTCCGGGTCTGTTCAGGCCCGCACATTGCGGCTGGGAGGCGGCCTCCCGAGCACTGGGCTCGGCCTCATAGCGGCACAGGGCCTCCCACTCCCGCTGCAAACGTCCCTTGTTGCGCAAGTGATCCTCCATATAGGACTAAAATGGATATAAACCATTAATTCCATTAAATCAGTAGGATTGGTAAAGCAATATAACTAGAATCAATGGTGATATTGGTGCTTGTAAAATGTAGAAGATATTGTCTTGATCCAACCAAAAATATCAAAAGTATTAAGTCTCTAAGCGTTCTATTAAAAAAGTGGTATTGACCTAATACTTAATAATACAAATTTTATACTCAGTAGTATTCATTTAATATGAAATATTATAAACTTAATATTTTGTAGTTTTATTTCTATTCCGAAATGTTCAATTAAATACTTTTGAAAGAATTAATTTAATACTCATCTTATTGATGCAATTTTGACACTCAATAGTGAAGAATTTATGTCACAATAGTTTCGTTTCTATGGGTATTTTTTTTTTGGTTTAGATTTCATAATGATCTTGGCTTCATTTTAATTGTAGTAAAAGTTAGAATGTTGTTTTCTTCAAAGATTAGGATTTAAGCATAAAGTTTCCATTAGAATACACATTTTTTCATTAGTTATTATTTAGAAAATTTATAAATTCAGGGAACATTTGTTTTTTCGAGTGCAGATAATGAGTAGATTCTATTTTAATGACTCACCAGCACCATGTGCCCGGTAGAGATGTCCATGTTCGTCATTGCTGGCTCCTCGCTCCAGGACGAGGTGCTCGATCGCGAGGATGGCGGACGACCCTCGTTCTCCTTGCTCAGCGATGTAATCCGTCCGCTGGTCGCCGGTTCGTTTGACCCACCGCCGGCGGTTCCGCCGGCCGAATTGCCACCATTGCCGGTCTTACCCGCCATCCTAGCGCGGCACAGCTCCTGGTAGTCCTTGCTGCAGGTCTCCGCACCCGCAATGCCCGACTGCAGACCGCCCAGCTTGTCCCGCTTGCGATCGTGCCGCTTGATCAGGATCAGGGTGACGAAGATCACGATCACCGCGGCCGCTCCGGCGCCGGCGAACATGTAGGCCATGATGTGGGTGACATCCGGTCCCTGCTCGGCCAGTTCGATGCGCGAGGAGGAGACACCGGGGTCCTGCAGATCCTTGACCACATCACCCACGCCGGCGTGCAGCACATAGAACCCGACGCGTCGCTGGATGTTGTTCTTCACGCCGCGGTTCTCGTTGATAGTCCGCGCCACATCGCCGGCCGTCTTGCGCTCGGGGTTGTTTGAGTTCACCCGGAAGCTGACTTCGTGTTGTTGAACGCTGAATGGGTAGGGGTAGCAGATAGGGGCAAAAGTTAGGGTCATATTTCAGGAAGAAAGCATTCAAAAGACCCACGTTAAATAAGAAAAGTATCCCTGCATGTGTAGTATTTGCTCCAGCTCCTTCATGATGCGCTGCCCATCGTTCCAACTGTCGATTCTGCGGAACAAAAAGGATTCAATTAAATAAAATGGTATTTAATACACTCAGAAAATTAATTTATTTAAGGTACATAAAAGGTACCAGGTGGGATTTATGTAACTTTCGTCCAGAATATCACGCAGAAAATAATGTATTAGTTCGAAAGTTATTCTTAATCTACCTAAATTTCATTTCAGGTATAGATTACATAAAAAGAACAAAATGATGTCTATATATTTTTACATTTAGGGTAATAGTTCATTAAGTTTTAGAATATTTTTGAGGGAACTCATCAGCATAAATTACTAATTCAAGTTAGATTTAAAAATAATTATACCCGTTACTCGTAGAGTAAAAGGGTATATTAGATTCGTGCAAAAGTATGTAACAGGTAGAAGGAAGCGTTTCCGACCCTATAAACTATATATATTCTTGATCGGGATCACTAGCCGAGTCGATCTAGCCATGTCCGTCTGTCCGTCTGTCCGTCTGTCCGTCTGTCCGTCTGTCTGTCCGTCTGTCTGTCTGTATGAACGCTGAGATCTCGGAAACTATAAAAGCTAGAAGATTGACATTTTGCATGCAGATTCTAGGAGTTCCTACGCAGCGCAAGTTTGTTTCAAAAGGGTGCCACGCCCCCTCTAACGCCCACAATCGCTTATATACGATTTTAAAAATTTCAATATTTTGGAAAAGTAAAAATGCAGTTTTATTGTGTTTATCAATACCTATCGAAATGTAGAAAAAATTTTTTAAATCGGACCATTCGTTAAAAAGTTACGGCGGATCAAAGTTTTTCTCCATCTCCTTCGCACTCCCTTTAGCTGAGTAACGGGTATCTGATAGTCGGGGCACCCGACTATAGCGTTCTCTCTTGTTATATTGTTATATTATACTATTTTACATTTATATATTGATATGCCGACAGCACTAGTTTTAAATTGAAATGTATCTATAAGAAAATAAAATTTTTGTAATAAGGTCATCATTTTTATCCTCATAATTTTGTTCAATTTTTATGTAATTTAGTTTTTCTGAGTGCAGGGAAATTGATGACTAATATTTTAGTACTCACGGGTTCTTGACGAACACATGCACGTATTCAGTGTCAACGGTGTGCGGCGCATGATCCTCGGCCGAGTGCTGCTGCTTCATGACCTTCTTCTTCTTGTGCGCCTCCTCGTCCTCGGGAGCATTGCCCTTGATGTGGGCGGGCAGGACCTCCTTGTTGCCATTGGTGTCCAGTTTGCGAGCCTTTTCCGTTCCCAGCTGATTGCCGAGCTCCTCGGCGGAGGAGCCCAAGGACGGAGGTCCTAGCAGCGGTCCCGGCTTCTTCACATCCAGACGCTCGTGCCGTGCGAATCCCAACATGTTGGCCAACAGGGATTGCTTCACACTCACATCCGGCTCATCGGCCTGCATGGCATCCTGTTCGTCCTGGGGCATCAGGAGCAGCCCACCCTCGGTGTAAACGCGCTGGCTCTTCGACTGTCGGGGAAAGCTATTGGAGGCCAGCATGGCCTCCTCCTCGAGCGGCGTCAGTGAGTTGCGCAACAAACCGGACTCGAAGGCCAGTTCCTGTTGCTGCAGGTCGGCATCGTAGGGATCCAGCTGCTTAAAAGCCGCAGGACGTCGTTTGGCCATTTCGGGATTGGTTTCTAGTTCGGTTTCCGCTTGTCTAAAATTCAGAGGCGGCTCCTGCACCAATCCCTGTTCGCTGGCCAGCTCGCGGAAGAAGGAACGCTTGGGTTGTGGCTCATCCGCCGACTCCATCTCCACCTCCTCGGCCAATCCCCCCCTGGAGCGACCCCTAGCTCTCTTGAAGGGGGCGAAGTTGTCCGGGAAGTAGAGCTCACTCGATTCGTTCACCTCCTCCGGCGGCACGTAGACCGGTGCCTTGACCTGCTCCTGCTGCTGCTGCTCCTTCAGTTCCCTTTGCTGCTGCTGCTCCACAATCGCCTCCAGTTGATCCATGGCATTCGGCTGGGCGGCCGGCTTCCTCTGGAAGGGCTGAGGATCAGGCTCGGAGGCTGCCAGAATCTGATACAGTTCCATGCGATTCTGCTCCGCCCGCCGATGGGCATCTTGCTCAGCCGCCGCCATCTGCTGCTCGCGCTCCGTCCTCTGCCGCTCGGTGTCCAGGAAGGCGTCCATGATGCTCGGTTCGTCCACCTGACCCACCTGCCGATGTCCATGGCCGTCCACCTTGCCGAAGTGCTCCAGCTCCGAGGGATCGTGCCTCAGCCGCCGGCGATCCTGCAGCATCCGGTTGAGGTACATATCCTCATCCTCCTGGTTCTCTCGCACCTGCTTCTTTCTCAACGGCGGATAGAACTGCGCTGGCTGCTCGTAGTAATCGATTTCGGTTTCCGGTTCCGGCGGCGTGAAGCGCACATAGGCCATGGCACTGGCCGGATCCCCGAACTCCGGAGGAGCCGGCGCCAGGTTCGCGCAGAGATTCGGAGGAAGCTGCTGTTGTCGTTGCAGCGAGAAGAGGGAGCCCTGGATGCGACATTGGACGTACGGATGGTCCCATCCTAGGCCGGCGCCCTGGAGCTCCTCCAGCATGGTAGCCAGCACACGGGACTGCTCCTCAGTGAGAGGTGTCCTTTAAGGGAGGGGGAAACAACGTTAATTAATACCTGGAAATGCAATTTAAATCAGGGTAATTACTTCTCAATGTCCTCAACGTCGACACCGGTGGTGGGAATGCACTTGCCGAATATGTTGTCTGAAATTTAAGCACAAAACTGGGTTAGTATAGTCAAGGAATTGGTTCTTGAATTTTAAGTTTCCTCTTCTTGTATTTATCTTAAGCCAGCGGAAACTTTTATATCCCACCAAAAAGTTTAATATATTCTGTTCTTCAGTTTTCATGTTGTTTTAAGAACTTTTTCGCCAGCTGAAGTTCCCGCCGAGGGATTTTATAGGCACTTTTCTTCATTTATTTTCTTTTAATAATTAAAATCACGCATAATAAAAATTATTTACTTAAGTTGTATACCCAAACCTTCCTTAATGTTGCTGAACTTTTTGAATAATTTATCTGAGGATCGTAAGAGTCAATTTACCCCATCTGCATATCCTGCACTTCTATAATTACACTCGCCAAAAATTCAATGGTATTTACATTCAGCACTACTGTTGTCATCATCAGTCCCCGATATTAATAGGGCATGTAACTGCATTAATAGACCTCGTCTTACAATGGTTCGTATAATGTCCCCGTTCCCCGGTCTCCCGCCATCAGCACCTTTTGTTTTCATTGTGATTTACGACCATTTAAATGCATATCCTTGCGGCTTGTCTCGGGCGTAATTTGCATAATGTAAATGCTTCTCATGCGGACGACTGAAACTGCAACTGCGACTGCAGATCGTACATGTGTGGGCCACGCCCCCCGCTCCAAGTACCGCCGCCTCCCGCCTCCCTTTTGAGGTCAACCATTTTCTCTGCAATTTTCGCCATTTTTTCGCAGCGTTTTCCTGCTGCAGCTGCTTTTCCAATTGTTCTCTAGCCCTCCGCGCTGTGCTTACATAAGTAATTGAGTGTGTTCTCGATAATGCACTGCCAGTCGGCACCCCTCACATCCCCCCTCCCCCTATGGAAGCCCCATAGTTTTCTCACACTTTGTTTTGGTGTCGTTTTGTGCGAACTCTGACCCGGCATTCGAGAGCTCTGCAAATACGAATAATATGCCCGGGGCCAGAGTTCAGAGTTTCCCTGCAACTCCTTGGCCTTTGACCCACAAGGATGCATTTCGGCAAACACTACTTTGTGGCTAATGGCAGCGGAAATCGACAGTGAGAGCCTTTATTGTATTTGGGGCTTAGAGTGCTTAAGGCGATTTAAGTCAGTGCCTTATAGTTTTTATTTTAGGGTAAATAAAAAATAAAATAAAAGTCCATACATTAGGTTATTGCACAGAAATCTATAAATTTCCAGTGAATTTAGAAATCCTTTTACTGTTTCCTCTCCGAAACAACTTTATCCTCATTTATTTTGCTTCAAAAAGTTTGTGTTTCCATAATTAGTTTTACCTTCGCTTGATTAATTTTAGCTAATATTTCTATTTCCTCTGAAAACACTAATTGCTGTTAAAGTTTCAAAGTGGAACGTTTTGGGGTTTTATGATTAAACTTTTATATTGTTTAAGCTTATAGAAAGATTTCACTGAATTTATTTGAATACTAAATGGTTTCCCATAATTAATTAGCAACTTGTTGAAGCTGAATATTAAAATTCATTTTCCTCACTTTTTTGTCAACACATTTGCATTCTTAATGTGCTCCAAAAACTTTCTCCTTTAAATGTCTATTAAAGCTTCTCTTTTTCGAATGAAATATTCACTGTCATTTAGCATATTTAATGCCACCGAATTAGTGGTAACATTTAAGCTCCTCTTCCCGTGAAACTATCCTGCTAATCCCTTCTCCTGGTGGCTAAATTCAATTTCCACGAACCGGGCGTCCCTTTGTTCCCACTGATAACCACAATCTGGGTCTTAAGTCCGTCTTAACTGGGTGTCGACCGTCTTATCGCCTACTCACCATCGTAGCAGACCTCGGAGTGCGGTATGCATAGCGTCCTAACAAACTGGCAGCCTGTAAGAAAACGAGAAAAAAAGAAGAAAGAAAAAAGGGAAAGTATTTGGTTAGTATGGCAGAGTATATAGTACATGAAAGAGTTGTTTAAGCGACGCCATTATGAGCGGGTAAGTGGAAAGCAGAGCAGAGCAGTCTTTCAGTTGAGACATAATGATGTGGTAAGAGCCAAATCAGCATTACGTCGCTGAGCACCCCCCAGCATCCCAAAAGAGCCCCCGAAAAACACCAACCTCCCACCATTCACCATCCTGTGCTGCTGGTGTCATGTGTCGCTTGCTTGACTCTTGGCTAAATAAACGCTTTTTATGAGCATGTGCGACATCATGGCTAACACACACACGCACACTTTAGCGACGACGACAGGCGAAGACAACTACAAATTCCTGGCCCGAATATATCCCCTTTTGGCCGTTAGTCAAATGTCTGTTAGCGTGTCTCTTCTCTTTTCCGTGTGTGACGTCAACAAGAACGCCCGCATCGCATCGGGAATTTGCCAGTGAAAAATTTGCCTCCTTCTACTGCTGACTTTTTCCTGGGGACTTAGCTAGCATCATGTGTAACGCACGTCCTGTTCGTTCAGCCTGGGCGGAAAACCCAGAAAACCCTGAAAACCCACGCCCCAAAATGGCGTCACTTTGGAACTTTGTTGTCAACAGTTTTCGTGGTCTTTGCCTGGCTTTAACTTTTGGGCTGTGACAGCCGACGACGACGACGCTTCGACATTCGTTGGCCATTAATTAAGCCAAAGTAATTTCATTTAGCTGCCGCAACCTCCCCCCACAAATGCCGCATTTCTGGCTGTTTTTGTTTTTAATTGCTGAATAATTGCAGCCGGGGCAAAAAGGGCAGCGAATATTAATCTCGACGGACGAAGAGAGTCCCGGTCCCTTGTTGATAAGAGGGACCCATGAATGACCAGAAATTAAGTAGCTCCGCACAAAAAGAGTTTGCCCGAGGAGGGGGAAAGATTCGCTGATGAATTCATCAGACAGCTGGAAAAAGTAGCAGAGGAAATTGCCAACTGTTTGGACAAATTCATTCAACAACAGTCAGAAAATTATTTCAAATCATAAAAACAAATAAAAGTTAAATTATAAGGTGCTTTAAAGTATGCAACAAAATATTTCAAGTTTGGAAGTCCAACGCTCTTTTGTACTGCATACTTTTAGACACCTTTAGAAGAGATTTTAAAACGCTGTGATAAATGTAAATAGAAAATTACTATCTCACCTCATCACTATAAATATACAAAAAAAACTATTAAAAAATTTAAGAGCCAAAAGAGCTGCAAGAAAAGCTCTGTCATTTTTCACTTAAGTACCTGCCATCCAAGTTGACTATTAAATTCTTAATGACTCTTCGCTTAAGTGCGATAAACTTGATTTTTATTCTCTGTGTAGTTAGTCGAGTGGCTACATTGTTTGGCCATATGGAGTGGCGAAGTCCTTTCTATTCTTTCTGCCCTTTCAGCATTGTCGAGTCGACAGATTGAAGTGCACTCTCCACATCCCGAGGAGCAGGGACCAAGGATCCAGGACCAAGGACCGTAAACGCTCACATTGTCTCCTTGTTGCTGCGAAATTCCCGGGCCGTTGGGAAAACAGTCAATAAATGTGGCGACACTGGCCGTCTGTCTATTTATCAATAGGCCAACAGAGACGTGACCCGAATGCCGCAGACGGCAGAGCGATATTAAAAGCCTTGGCGCGAAAATAGAAACTAATTAAATGAGATGGTCAATGGCAATTGAGCGGTCTAATTGCGATGGCATTTCCCCAATGCAATGAAAGACTTGAAGAGACCAATCAACCCAAGGGATCAGAGGTCCGCAGACGCGCCTCATAAATATGCCAGCTCATGGCCATCGATGTTCAGGTAAGCTGGGCTGCATTGTTTTTCTCATTTTCCCGGCCCTTGTATTTTTTTTCCCTTTTTTTTCTTTTCCCATTCACTGATAAGGCCACACGGCGTATACGCAATGTGGCACGTAGCGCCGTGCCGCATTCATAGGCCATTTTAACGCCATCGCTGAGCCATGCAAATGCTCGCTGGCCATCGAGTGTGGCAATAAAAATAAGAGGCATCCTCCTGCGAACGGCAAAGGCTAAAAGCTTTTACGCCAACAAAATCCTCGTCGGACAGAAACTATCTGTACGTCACGGCGATGCAACTATTATTTATGGCCCGTTCGATTCGCTACGCAGGGGAATGAAAAGTGAAGACCTCGGTGCAGGAATCGACCGCAAGGAGGAAATGCATTCATCGTCGGGATTGCCAATCAACAAATCAAAATCTGTGATGACGAATGGGCGAGGGGACCTTCATCCTTTTGTGGTCCTCCTGAATTGATTGATAAGTTGGCAACTTGATTGCCGGCTCCCAGTAGGGAAATCTTGGACAGCCATCCTAAATTATGCCCGAGGCCAACCGAGGCTGAGGCTGTGGCTGGGCAAACACTGAAGACGCAACAATTTAATAAATTTGCCGCCCCAAGGCGAAATTGAAAATTCCAAGCGCATTCCCATTCCCGCACATATTGTTGTGGTTGCCGTGGCAGCCGCCGCCTGAACAGGAAGCCCAACCTCCGCTCTCCCCACATTTTGATTGATGTCCACCGGCACACCGCACATAGTTAAGAGGAAGCTCCTTCGGAATTTTCCGCCTGGCCAGGGCTGTTTACTTATGAGACTCCCCTGCGCTCCCCCAGGTTTCCTGTGCTGTTTGCTTTTGGGTCAAGGCATTTAAAAACAAGAGAGAACGCTATAGTCGGGTTGGTGTCCCGACTATCTAATACCCGTCACTCAGCTTTGTGTCCCGACTAATAATCGTAACTCAGCTAAAGGGAGTGCGAGGGAGATAGATATATTTTTTTTGATTGCGTATAACTTTTTAATGAATGGTCCGATTTGAAAAATGTCTTCTACATTTCGATAGGTATAAATATACACAACAAAATTGCATTTATACTTATCGGAAATCTTTAAGGATGTGGGCGCAGGACCCATTTTAAAATCGTTAATGGGCGATTGTGGGCGTTAGAGGGGGCGTGGCGCTCGGCTAAAATAAACTTGCGCTGCGTAGGAAGCCAAAGAATATGTGTGGGAAATCTCAACCTTCTAGCTTTTGTAGTTTCCGAGATCTCAGCGTTCATACAGACAGACAGACGGACAGACGGACAGACGGACAGACGGACATGGCTAGATCGACTCGGCTAGTGACCCTGATCAAGAATATATATACTTTATGGGGTCGGAAACGCTTCCTTCTAGCTGTTACATACTTTTGCACGAATCTAGTATACCCTTTTACTCTACGAGTAACGGGTATAAAAAAGAAAAGGAAAGAAAGATTTTCATTTCATAACGACATTTTTTCTCCTGTCATCTGGCCACGACGCAGGCACAAACACACAAACTCACACACGGCACGTGTGTTGGCACGACCAACGTGTGGTATGTGTAATGTGCGGAGGCGAGTGCTGAGAGCTCAGGCGACATCTTTAATGACAATAACGAATGTCCGCACTCTGATTACGTGCGACATTTACCCCAAGCAGCCAAAGCGACAACGCTCCATAAAAAATGTGCCAACACACATTTCAGGGGGCACTCAAAAATCGGTCTAGTTGGATTTTATGGCACTTTGGGTAATACAAAAGAATCAAAGGGTGAAAAGTCTGTAGGTTTCACAAATATAAGAATTTAATTGCGTATGGAAAATTAAAAAATGCTTTATAATGGATAACTTTGATGAATTTGTATTTAAAAGGTAAAAAAGACCTTAGGATCCTATAGCGAATACATATTTATTAAAAAATGACAAATTCTTAAAATTTCAAAACACAAAATCATTCTTTATAAAGAGATGAATTTATGGAACTTTTAAGTATATGGTTAATATAGAAATGAAAGCCATTTAACCAAAATTAATAAAAATAATATAATTACAAGGCAACATATTTCTACATTTAATATTCTGGTTAAACTGAAGGATTAATTCTTGTCCGAAAAACCAGTTGCATATATCACAAATTTACCAACGGCTAACGGGTGCTTAAAACTCAATTACCAGAGCAAGCCGGATGTTGTAAAACATGAAACCATGAAAACACGAAAACAGGGCCTCCCATTTTCCCTTTCAGCCGGATGAAAAGATGCGTTAAAGTCGCCCCGCGGGCCACAATACTTAATATTTTGCGTTGACAGTACGTGTCAATGCTGGGGCGACCGAGGCGAACAACTGTCAGGGAGGCGAAGGCACAAAGAAAATAAATAATAACAAAGGACATTAATCATGACAACGACAAGGCAAAGGACTTTCCTGCTTTTTTGTTGTAGCTGGTAAGAGGGGACGAGGGGATAGCAGGGCCAATGGCAAAGCAAACATGATGCACAGCTCGTTAAAGGGCAGCATAACAAGTACACATGCATACATATGAGACACCCAGGACCTGTTTTCGCATTAAAGTCCTGCTTCTACTGCTCCTGCTCCTGCCTACTTGACTTGCTAAGCGTTTAATGCCATCGCACACATGCGCCAGGCAAACAGAATAACAAACAAATAAAAAGCACCGAGGATGCATTGCCTCTTTTCACGGCTTTTCCTCTGTGTTTTTCCTTGCTTTTTCCACGGCTTAGTTGCAGCTGCAAAAGTTGTCGCTGCTTTGGAGCTTTATTAAGTGTAAATAAGCGGCGGCATTTCACAGCAGCTCGGGGTCCTGCAGCCACATTCCTTTGAGTGGGGCATTCCTTATGGCAGCCCAGGACAAGCCACACAGACGGAAAAAATTAAGTGCTTTTCTCTCTTTGCCACGAAACTAGTAACTCAGAAGCTCAAAAGGCTTTTCACACAGCAGCAAAAAATATGAATATTGTTTGTATCTCATAAGAACTTAATAAATGGAATTTTAAATGTACTTCTGGAATTTTGAGGCTAGAAAATATTTTTTATTGGTAAAACTTCACATGTTATTGTGGTTAAAATAAAAACAATATTTATTTTGGTCTATAGAAAATCTATGTCTTATTTTCAGTATTTAAATTCAATGGTCCGACCTATTTTTAAAAAAATTAAAACCTAGTATATACTTAGCTTAGTTTAAGTCACTTTTGATGCTTATTTCTCTGGAATGAGTAAGCAGATTTTAGAAGATTTTAAGTAGATTTTTGTTTTCTGTGCCAGCTCCTCCAACATGTTGCTGCCACTGAGCCGTTTTTCATTTTCTCTCCGACGCCGCCGGCTCCTTGATTTATGCGAACTCATTTTATTCATAAATTTTAAACACGTTTGACGTCCTTGCTGGCTGGGGGCTATGGAAATCGGGTGGAATGGGGATTTCCCTCTGGTATGCCAACTGTCTCTGGGTTCTCTGGCTTTTCTCGGGTGCGGGTGGTTCGTTGATTTATCTAGCCACATTTCTAAACAAATATTTTTGGCCCCTTCCGGACAACCGACGCCAGTGACCCAAACAAATTTGGCACGCAATTAGGCGTGCTCTGTTCTTTTTTTTTGGTCCACTCTAGCATAAATATAAAGTTTTTATGGCAGCCACTTTGACTTCGCCTCCTTCGTCAGCCTAGGACTAATAAATTGAGTGCCACTTTTGACCAAGCCAAAAAAAGCAGTAGACAGAATAAAATAAAGTGTTCGAAGGGGAAAGGGGGAGCTCGAGTTATGTATTTTGTAAGGCAACGAAAATGTTTATTTGTTTACGGTTCATCCAGCAAACAGCAAAAGAGACTGCTGGATGTCAGCACTGTTCAAATATGTGTCAAGTACCTGTCCAAAAATTGCTTGTTTATCAGATAAGCAAGATCTGAAGGACTCTGAAAGGCATATGAAATATAAACCAAGAAAACATTGACAGGACTAGAGAGCAATTTTCGATGACGCCAAAAAGTATGCCATGAAAGTTTACTGCTCATGCATGAAATTTAGGGACTGAAATACTTGTTTGTATTTTTATCTACTTGTGTTCTCCATTGAAGTGCACTTTTGAAATGGAAACCTTGTTTTATAAAAAGATTAAGATTAAATATGATATTTCATTAAATCTTTTAAAGACGCCTCAAGTTATGCAATAAAAACTTAAAGGATAATAAATACTAAGCTTGAACTTTTATTGCATTTTCTTTCCTCAGCATTTTCAATCTCCGCTTCCTCGAGACTTTTGTGAATCAGAAACTTATCTTTAAGTTTCAGCCACAGAGCACACAAACACATCTGCTTTTCTCATTCATTATCCGGCCTGCTGTGTGGATGACAAATTTCCAATGAAATTCCTAACGAACTCGCTTGTCTCATTAGCATGACTCTGCCTGGTCATCTGCAGCGTGTGCCAGGTTCAAATTACTCTCGAAAAAGGTGATGTATGAACTGCGTATAAGGTTTCAATTCGAAAAAGAAAAACCAGATGTGAGTAGCATTATTTGCTTTCCTATTGCGCTGCAAAATAACACAGAGTAAGGACTGCACATCAATTTTGCATTTCATTCAAGGAGTCCTTTGAATACGACCATTGCCTTTTCGTATGTACCTGGTTTTACCTGCACCTTGTGTGCGATTTATTAGAAATTCCGTTTCCAAAGTGACCCACCTGCATTCTTCCCTTGCCAAACTTAAATTGGAAGGTAGCCGTACCACAATCGACTACGCATTTGGATCTGAACCGAAACCGAAATCGAAATCCAAAGCGACATCCAAATTTCAAATATGATGACTGATTGCTGGCCTGGGGCGTACAGGTAAAGCCGGTTGCAGGTTGCTAGGCATCCTGTGATTCCCATCCTGCGGCTCACTGCTCAGTTGCAAGTCAGCAAATGCATTCTGAGAGCCCAAAAGGCACCGCCCCCTCATTTCGCATGGATTTATGCCAGGCTAGCTGGTTTCAATCCCATGCAATTGGCTTCAAGGGAACACAAAATGAAATAGAATAGAATAAAACAAATTGAACTCAACGCCCGTGGGCGTGGTCGATTTACGATGCGTTCAAATTGATTTAATTAAATGCAAATAAGTTGTACTCATTGTCGTCACTTTGCGCTTCAATGGATTTAATGTGCAATTACTTTTCCAATTTGCCATAAAAGAATACACACAAATCTTGATTGCTTATTACTCGGGCGCCCATTTTTCACCATTTCCCGGCCGACGTCACGTGCCCTTTATTTTCCTCTTGTTTCTTGTTTCTCATTTCCCATTTCTTGTTCTTTCTCGCCTCTTTGGTTTTCATTAATGTTTAGGCAGCTTTTAATTTGCGCTCATTAATGGCGGCCAGGGGCGGAAAATCGAAGGGAGGGCCCCCGGAAAACAGGATTCGCTCATGAATTTTCATTAATTTCCGCAAAGTTGTTGTTGTCTTGCTGTTGTGCATGAAAAATTCATTAGATTTTTTGCATAAATTATGGCCGCACAACGAAGATGGGAAAGGCCGCCAAAAAACAACTGGAAATTATTCCGCAAACTTTCCCAAAAGCATTTGCCTGACAAAATTGTCCAATTTTATCGCAAACTTAGGTCAAATATTTGACACCCAAAAAGTTTTCACCTGACAGGCCCCCAAGAGACCAATTAAAGTTGTTCAACGCAGGACCCCCAAAAATGTCAAATTAAATATGACCTACTTTAAACGTTGTTTATTAATTTAAATTGGCGGAAATAAGTGTTGTATAAAATGGTATTTTGGTTGCCACTAAATGGTTATTTCGATTAGGGGTTTGTTAATTTAGTTTGGGTTCCATAAATTACAAATAATTGTACATAAATTAAACAATCTTTTTACTAAGATTTAAAAAATAATTAACTCCTAGGATCAGGAAGCCTAATTATGGGATTGTTCTTTCCTTCTGAGAAACTACTATCTTTCGGCTTTACCAAGCAATTGATACTGGGTTTCCTCGAGGGTTCTTGCTTTTCCAGACGTGGCGTGACTTTCACTTTGTTTGATATGGGAAAGGATTTGGCCTCTGCTGACTTGGGAACTTTAATGGAGGGTGCGGAATTGCGAAGTGGAGAGGCTACCAAGCCACCGGCCATTGTTATGCGACGCTGAATGCGAGATGCCGGTTGTGAGGAGGAGAATTTGGAAGGAGGGACATGTTCCACAAGCCGAGTTAGTTCAGGTTCTACTCTGGAGAATTTAGTTTCGGGGTTTCCCTGCTTTTGAGTTGCTTCGAAAGGAGTTCCCTTTTCATCTTCACTGGATCCCGGTTCGGATTTATCGCTGCTTTCCTCTGTTTCCTTATCGGAATCAGAATTGGAATCTTCTTCGGAACTTGAATAACTACCTCCCTCGGATTCGGAATCACCATTAGAATTGGAATCACTTTCATCGCTGCCCTCAATTTTGGCATTCATATATTTCTTCACCAGTTTACGCTGATCTTTGATAGACATACTTAGCTCTTTGGACTTATCGAATACCTGCTTGACCAAATCATCCATAGACGCAAGGCTTAAGTCTTTAGACTTCCTGCTAGCTTTCTCCGAATTCCAAAGCTCCATGGACATTTTCAGAGTTTTTCTTACTGATATTTAATTTGCACCGAGAATTTTTGGGTGTATTATTACAAAAAACTAGATTCGTATAGTAGGAATCAGGGAACGAAAATAACTGTTATTGCAAATTTTTCATACAAAAAAATCACGCACTTAGAAGGGTCCTAAAATTTTTTTAAATACACCACAATTTTTATTAGCCATTGTAGTTTACAAATCCGTAATGATTTTTATTTTTTGATTTTTATAATAAAACTCAAAAAATAACTGTTATTTTTTGATTTTTATGAATAACAGTTATTCCCTTGACATTTTTGAAAAAATGAAATAATTAAAAAAAACATGATACCCGTGCTTTTTATAACTTACTAAAAATTTGTTAAAAAAGGCAACCGCGCATATTTTATACCTATAATTTTTTAAAATTTTGTTTACCCACAAAATCGCCATAAATCAAGTTTGAGTTTTATTTTGATCACGACGAATAACTGTTATTTGTCAACTTTTATTATAAAACTCAAAAAATAACAGTTATTCTTTGAGTTTTACTTTACAAATCAGAAAATAACTGTTAAAGTGTGATTTTTAAAATAAAACTTATAACAGTTACGTTCCCTGGTAGGATTGACAGAGGAATAAGGAGGATTTCAGGTTGAAAATCAACGATGTTTTATGTCGAAAGCCTGCCTGCTGTGATTTTTTAATTAAACATGATAAATTAAAAGGAATTTTTTGAAAAGTGTAGTTTTCACCATGTCATCTCCAGCCAACCCGAAATAAAGAAATATTTGATTTTTGACCCAAATTTGTTGGGCGCACCATCCAAATCAATTACGGTGGCGCCACAAAGTATGCCACGCAGGTGGGGCAATTTAGTTGTGCGGTCGCTCTCCTCTCCGGCAGATAAATCAAATCATTAGTTCGCAGGTCACTCGAGTGGGGGGAAGTCAAAGGTCGCCAAAAGGCAGGGTGTATTAATGCCAAATTAGAGACGCCCAATGGAGCGTGATTACGGCAAGCCAAACATCGCAATAGGAACACATAAATACACATTTGCTTTTTGCCTTTTGGGTTTCGAGGAGGGGCAAAACGCTTATTTGCGTATGCGTGGCACATAAAAATCCCGTTCTTATTAAATTTCCGCACGCCTACACATGTCCTGCTGCCAGATTCCTTGGCGGGATAACCACCCAACCAATCCTTAACCCATGCCGCCACTGGGGCGCAGCTGTTGGGCTTGTTCCCTGGCATTTGGCTCAATGAATTTTGCATGTTTTTTCTCGGCCCATTTATGTGTATAGGAAAACGTATGTTTTTTATTCTTACACTTGCCGCAGGCTAAGAAGCACTTGCTTGACTTTGGTTTCCCATTTGTTTGCCTCATGGGGACAGCAGACAGCCGTCTTTGTTGCACCTTGAAGGCGTAGGCCAAGTAAACAATATTAACATTAAATTAACATTTATTTGCCTTTGCCAAAGGTTTCCTCCCCCAACCAAACCCATTTGCGTCAAATAAATACATTTGCATACATTACGCAACATATGAGGGCTTCTTTAGTTTCTGCCCTACTCTCTAGTTGCCATTAAAATGTTCTAATAGTCCGCTGCCAAGGGCGAGCTTATGAATATCCACAAAAAACGAAGAACAAAAAAGGAAAATTGGGAGCCCCAAAAATAGGGAACTTCAAAAGGCAAGCCAAAACAAAGTGCCAACAAAGTAATTGCAGGGATTTGCCTTGCGGCCACCTCGATGGGGAATTATTTTTGCGAGAGTGGGTGAGTTTTCCCTGCTGCTATGTATATGTGTGGGTAAATAGTACTCAAAGAGGCGGTTTCCCGGGGAGCCAAAAACGAAGGACTGGCAACCAGTTGCCGCGCCATTTTCTCGTTTTGTTTTTTCCTTTTTTAATGTGCCAAAATGTATAACTGTAACTGCTGTGCATGGGTTGTCTTTTGAGCAATTTTACGCATATTTGCACTTAAATATAACATCACATACACACACATACAACGTATATGCCTGGCCAAAATCGAGCCCAAAACGCCCAGATATTTACGATGGCACGTTAATTTTTATGACATTTCCTCGCTGGCAATTCGGTTGGCCCCTTAAAATGCCCGCCGCCAGACAGCGATTCCGATTCCCATTATGTCAGCTTTATGAAGGGGATATATATCTGAAAAGGTCACAGAAGTGCGGGCTAATAAACCTATTAAATTTGGTGATAAATGTTTGAGAGAAGGCTCAGAAACCTGTGAAAATTTCAAGTCATATTTGGTCCTTTTAAAGGAAGAATATGGATCGGAAAATAACAATTTGTTATGTAAGTTCTAGTGATTTCATTGTTGAAGAGATAGGGATTATAAAGAGAGGTAAAATTCCTTTAAAAATCAAAAAATCAATAAATAACATAACATAGCACATAAATTATATGCAATAAATTTCAAGTTATCTTGTCTAAATTAAATTTTTGTTTCCAATATTTACGGAGCACCAGACAGTCGAGGCCATCGATTAGGTTTTCCATTTTATTGTTATATATTTTCCTTATTTTTTATGTTCATATGCCTGCATCTTAACGATGATTACGGTTATTATTCATTAGTCCCGCTTTTGTCAGTTTCCCAGCTGGTCTTTTCCCTGGCCTTTCTTGATTATCTGCAATTTTTCCCGTCAATGGGGAGTGGGGAAAATGAGGGAGTGTCTGGGGCCATGGCTCATTGGCCATTCAATATCTTTTTTTCCGCTCGATTGCTTATCTCTGGATGGAATACAACGGACAGGACCTGGCATGACCTCCAACCTCTTTCTTTTGCTCGAGATTGAAGCCTTGCAGGTGGGCGGCATCTTGAGAAGGGGCGTAACCAATGTGTGTCTGTGTGTGTGTTCATTGTTTCCGTTTTATCTCTTAATTACATCTTCATCTGGCCATTGAAAGCCTTCGGCTCGGAAAGTTTAATTAACTCGCCAGGACCAAGGACCTCCTATTGGCCGGTCTGAAGTATCGATGAGCGCCAGATGCGAGTGCTCCAAACCGATACTCTGGCCATCCTGCTGGCCAGTGCGCAATTTCATGTAACCACATAATTGAATTGCCACTAAAATCTACTAAATATGACACAATCAGAATCAGGCGTGTGCAGGCTATGGATGGCCGCAAATAAATTAATTTCAGCAATGCTTTAGAAACTGCAGATAAACCTATCAAACAGCCCGCATTTCGTGTTCCACTGCGAAAATATTATTTCCTGTGGCTTGCCATTATCACCGAATTATCAGCCATTTTTGGTTTCCATACCAATTTAATTATGATTATTTTATTTTAATTTCCTCAATTATTCTGCAATCAAAACTTTTGCACTTGGCAGACATTTTTGCGGAAAATATTTATATTTATTGCATTTATAGAATTTATTTCTATCTAACTAGTCAAGAGAATTTTATTTAAATTCTTATAAATTTAATATTGATAGTAAATATTTATATGCCATTTATTAATGTTTATTCAATTTTCCAAGAACATAAATTCTATCTTTAACAATGTGTAAATAAACAGAATTTCTTGAACAATAAAAGAACCTTCGTATCTATTTGAAAAACTCCAATTTACAGCCTCTAGAAGAGCAAACAACCTAACTTGCATAAGACCTAGATCATTGACAGCCGAGAGACAATTTTTAATAAATGCTATTCGATCATGGAATCAGCTCCCCAGCCATATAAAGAATATAAGCAGTGCTATGCAATTCAAAACAAATCTACTCTCACACCTAAAAAACACTATTAGGTAAATTAAATTAAAATTAGAAAGCGACTTAGGTTAGTTTTTCTTTTATATATAAAATTAGTTTTAGTAATATTTGCACCTATCTGTGACTAGCGCATTAATTTATAAGTTCCAAACTTGTAGCGTTAGGATGACACGAAATAATAAAATACAAATACAAAACTAACTAAGAGAATTTATTTAAATTCTCTAAAATTTTTAAATATTGATAGTAAATATTTATATGCCATTTATCTTAAAAATTCCACTTGACAATGAATAAGCTACAGGAATTTTACTTTTCGTTTTCATCCTCAAATTTCAGCAACCAATTTCCAGAGAAAACTCTAATCTCCGCCGGCCAATGCAACTAACTGTTTTCCACTTAGCACGACTTAATCCCCTAAACGGAAACTCAAACTGAGAACTGGGATAAGTCCTCCTCTTCTGCGGCGGACGAGGACAATGGGGCAACCCACCAACATGCAGCACTAACTGCCCCACTCACATATACTATATGGGATGTACTTTACTGCATGGTACAAAGTGCGTTTGTGAGCCTGTCGGCAGTAATTGCGGCGCTTAAAACGACAGAAGAGTTTAGGGCTTAGCTGCTGGGATGCAACTGCATTTTTAGTGTCATTTTCGCAACGCTTTCTGCTGCCTGGTGCTGGGGTTTTCCCACGCCATTTCCTCCTTAAATTGAGCATGCCGAAAAACGGGAGGAGAATAACTCGTAAAAAGTTTTCCATCCACTGAAGCGCAAGGATATCTCCTCCATCGAAAGCCTTTCTTCGGCTCAAGGCATTCTTTTCGGTTCACTGTTCACTGATACTCGATTATGTCGGCAATATGTTTACGTTAACAAAGCTCCCTTTCTCCCATTCTCCCAGCCAGAGGAAACATCCTTTGCAGACAGCAATTTGTTCCAAATGACTTGAGCGTGGCGCAAATTAAGTGCATTTTCATTAGTTGCAAGTTGTTTGCCATTTGAGAAATTAAATTGCCGTCGAAGGGAGAAAGAGAGGGGAGAGATTCAAGGAGTTGAAATCGGAGGGGCCTCAAGTTGCCCAACAGCAATTATTTTTCCGGCTCACATTCTCACTCAACCTTGGCCAGCCAAAGGCATCCAACTATCCACTGGATAGCGCTGAAACTATCATCAACGCAGTCATCCAACCTTTATGAATTTCGGCCATGTGCAAAGTTATTTGGCAGTGGAAAAAGGTTAAAAAACAAACGGGAGAGAACCTAGAGGACCTTGCTCTACTTAAAACTGGATGGCGGAGGGATAAACAAAATATTTTCGTCGGTTGGAGTGAGGAAAAAATTCCCACAGCCACAGGACGTCAGCAGGACATTTTTTTTTTGGTTTAAGCCGAGGGGAAGAAGAATGCATTAGTACTTTCACCTGTTCGACCGAAAAGTCCGTAGTCATGTTTTTGTTTCACAGACTTTGGGAACCCGCTGGTAACTTTGCTGCAAGAAAAGTTGAGAGGTGACGAAAAAATATCAGCTTTAAAGTTTTGAGTCTAAGCCAACAAAAACTGGGAACTTTCAATAAATTCATTCAATTTGCCAGCCAATAAATCCTCTGGCATAGCATATAAAAAGCAATTTACACAGAGCTTTTCAAATTGCAGCACTAATTCAATGGCTCTCCCTATTTTATAGGAAAAAATTCAAACCTTATACACAGAAAAAACCCTTCGCAGTTAAATCGATATGAGCATGGTAAATTTCTGGTATTTCATACGCACATTGTTTTTACCGGAATCTCTTTTCGGGATTCTCTGAGTTCGAAAAAGTGAGGAAGAAGAAATGTGGCGACTTAAAGTAAGTACAAACTCTATCAACACGAATTTAAGTGCCCACATATAAAGTCAATATTGATACCACATAACATCAAACCGATCAATGTTTCATATCAAGTTTTTTTTGGGTGTAGCTGGGATTAACACGAGCTGCACAACCATGGTATATAGTGCCTATATCGACGTCTATATAGCTCAACACAATTGCGGTTTGTGTGCCAAATCAACCGCAGAGCATGATGTAAATCGGCAGCCAGAGGTTCGCCGCATTCCATTTGGCCGAAAATGCAATATATATATAAAACGGCGCACACCACGGCGTATACGCAACAAGACCTCCTTTTTTCGTCCAGGTTTCTACATGGAAATTGCATTAGCACTGCGTCCATTTGAAAAGTTTTCAATGCCCCAGCCTGCATCGCAACGACGACGGCCAACTAATTAATAATGCATTCGCATCTGATTTGAAAATGTGCGAAATGCGCGAAAATGAAAATGTAAAATCCAATTTTCGATCCAATGCAAAGTTGGCTTTGCATTTGGCCTGGATTTTGCTTTGAGATTGAACTGAATTTCATTAAATGCAGGGAATGCTGGGCAAAATATGAAAACTATCTGGCGATGCGGAAAGCAGCTCTTCAGAGCGAGTGCAAATATTTGTTTTTCAAATGAAATGAATAAATGCAGAGCGGGCAGACAAAGTTGGCTGTTCCTCCTTCTCCTCCGCCTTCTCCCTTATTTGTTGTCAGTTTAATGAAGTTGTTTTTGCCAGTTTGCCGTGCTGATCCGCTTGGTTGGCTGTGTCAAAGGTCAATGTGTTAGACACTGTTGCATGCAACAGGGAGCTCTCGAGAGGCGTGTTATATACGTATAAGTGCGAGGCTCCTCCTCCGGTTGCAGCAGCAGCATCTGCTGTTAATTAAATTTTATTGTGCAGCCATCAAAAGTTGCACACCACAATGGGTGTGGGGGAAAAATGGAAGGGTGGATACAGGGCCACCAGTGCCACCATGAAATATGTGGCAACCAAGGAGCAGGAGCATCAGCTGCTGCTAATGATGATGTTGCTTGTTGCCAGTTGCCTGTCGCCTGGCTTGCTAATTTATACACACTCACACATTGTTGGCGGAGCAGTCAACTGCAAAGCCAGGACATTTATCTGTTTGTTTGTGTATCCACGTATCTATGTACCTATGTGTTAACTAAAAAGGATGTGTATGTGCACCTGCAGCAACAGCAGCAGCAACATCAGCAATCAATAAATCCCAGGACCCAGCTCCTGTTGATTCTTGCGCAATTCTGTGCATAAATGCATGGGCGTAGCTCCCTGGTTAACTTTGCATGTGGGCAGATGTCTGACGTGCATGCTGCAAATTTGCATGCCCAACAAAAGCAGCAACTAGTTGTTGTCATGGCAACAGCAAAAGCAGCAACAGCAGCCGCAGCAGGGATGCTCTGCAGGATATGAGCTGTGAGTCCTGCAACCAGACCTCCTCGCCTCTCAACATGGCATTTGCCATGAATAGGAAAGGAACTTAGAGCGATGAACACGATAAGCTGGAAAATGGTTAGCTCGAGCACGAGCTGAGTTCGGGAAAACCAAACTGACGGCTTGCGGTGGATAATTTCTGCCTGGCTGATGCAATTACGAGAATTAAATTCTCTCAAATGCTAAATAAATTGGCTAAGTAGCAAGCATAGCGTCAATCAGATTATGACATGGAAATCCGAGAAGAAAAGCCATGGAAACGAGAAAATAATAATTACTAAGCAACACAAGCAGACTTTGGCTTAAACGCTTTTTAGCAAGTGCGATAGTAAAAATTAGCAAACTTAACATTTTGCCTAAAATTTATGAGCTTATTTGAATATTTTAGCTATGAAAATAAACAAATGTTCCGCAAACATATTTGCTGAAATTGAAAAATAAATGCATTTAAAATATTCATAAGCAATAAATGTTTTGTTTGATCGAATGTGTGCGAATACAATTTGAATATTTTATCGGGCCGAAAAATAAAAGTTGGTACGTGGAGAAAAATATTGATATGGAAATGCAAAAAGCACCGAGGTGTGAATTCTATGCAAAATTTATGAAAGTGAAAGTTTTTTGGTAACTAAAATTTATTTTACCCATAAAGGAACACTAAAATTCAATTTGTGAGTTTTTGGCTAAAACCTTTTCTTCAATTATCAAACTTAATCAAGTAATTTCTTACTAAATTGTCTGCAAAATTTATGAAAGCGAAAGTTTTTGGGTATCTAAAATGTATTTTACTCAAAAAGGAAAACCTAAATTCAATTTGTAAGTTTTAGTGGATTTCGGCAAAAACCTTCCACATGACTTAATCAAATTTCTGACTGCCAAAAATCAATACCTGTGAATCTGGCATCTGAAAGTATGTTTCATTCGCACACAACTGAAATCACCTCAGCTGGTAATTGGCCCTGCTTTTCGGGGCCTGTTGCACATGATAGTTTCGTTTGGCAACTGCTAACTCGTTTAGCCAGCTTTCGGTTCGGTTCCGGCCGTGTAGGTCATTTCCTGGCCCAAACAGCAGTTTGCTGTTGCCGTTGCAGTCCGGATTCCTCGCCCTGGCCAATTGGATTATGCATGGTGCGGGCTAAACTAGTTAAAAACATATTTGCACACCGCCCAGATCTCTTGGACATGAACATCGGCCATCTTGTCGTCCGGGGAGCGAAAAACGGGGCTAAAAGCCATGTTGCTTCTCTGCTGCGTGTTTGGTTTTGTGCGTCAAAGTTTTAATTAAACGGGTTTATGTTTTCGCCGCAGCACACAAAAAGTTAACACACGAGGTGTGTTTTAGATTCGCCAGGGAAATCGAAAGACACGAGGGATTAGGATCATAAACGTACGCCTTTTATCGGCTTTTTGTATTGTGCTAGTAAATTATGGATTGTTAAAAGTGTATTTATAAAAAAAAATTCACACTTTTCCTTGCAGTTATTGACAACTTTTTTTAATTAAATGAAAAAACAATATATAATTTTAAAAATAAATTGAAGAAATAAGTATGTTGGTGTAGAAATTACCGAAAAACAATAAATAAAAGCTTTGTGTGGCCTTCGGAATTAAAACAGAAATGTTTAGAATATCAAAACACAAATTTTTAAATAGGGGAAAAATTCCAATAAATGTATATGACATAATCATAAATAGATTTGAATTTTTAGCCCTTTTTGTACTTTTTTTTTAAAAGGGGCTCTAGGTTAAACTACCTAAATTAAATCCAGAACAACTTTAATAATAATATCTCTACTGCTGCTCTGCTTTCCGTTTGGGTTTTAAATTTAAAATTGTTCAAACTTATTCAAGGACACTCACCAACATTGCCCTCCGCTTGAGCAAGATCTCCATGTGTGGCGAGCAGCAGGATCAGCAGGAGGACTCCGAATTGCAGTAGCTTCGCAGGACGACTCAGGGCGTCCAGGCTGCAGCAGAGCAGGCCGCCGCCCCCCGATCCGCAGCCCCTCACCTCGCGCCGTCGGGCGCCCTCGCTGATCAACAGTCGACCGCGGGCGGGCAGCGCAGGCGGCAACTTCCGCTGGTGATGCAGTAGCTCGTGCTGGCGCGGATTGCTTCGGTGGTGCTGCACTTGCTCCCGCTGATGCGGCTCCTTCTGCCGGTGGAATGAAGGTCGCTGATTAGACCAGGACTGCTGCTGGCATGCTCCCGTCGTCGCCGACTCCTCGTCCTTGGCTGCTCCTGCTGCTGCTCGTCGGGCTCTCTGGTGCTTCGGCTCTTCAGTTGTGGTGCATGGATCTTGCTGCCGTTGTTGTACATTGCTTGCCATGATAATCGGCACACCTGGATGTAAAAGGGAAAACCAATTAATTAGCAAGGTGGTTTATCTTTATCCCAGCCCGAGGGCAAATTAAATTAAATTCACTGTAGAGAAGCTTCACTATATCAACGATAATACAGGAAAAAACAGATATTTAATTAGAGCATCTGCCCGTATTAATAAAATACCAAGCCCAATGAAATTTTAAATTATTTATTTTACAACTGTGGCTTCCTAATTGAAATTCATCATATTATTTTTTTCTACTTTATGGAATGTGCACTTTTCACCTTTTTATGCATCATAAAATTGAATATAAATAAGTTAATAGCCCTTTAAAATATCAAAACTTATAAAATATGCATTTCCATTTAAATTGTAATATTTAAGCCTATTTTAAAATGATAATTTTAAGTGCCCCTTAAACTATTTTTAAACTTCAAAGCCAGTTCTCATTTGAATAAACACTGCTTTTAATAAGTTCCCATTTCCAATTAGCTTTTCGGGCTGCACGAAACCTGCATTTTCCTTGCTCACATCACCTCGTAAATCTTAACACAAATTTATGCAGGAATTTGCAATAATAACCTGGTGGTGCTTCTCCTTCGCCAAGTGGGTGGTGTATTCCCAGACCCCAAAGAGCAAGTAGCTCTCGTACAACCAAAGTATTTTGGGAGCTCCTTATTGTTGTTACCGGAAATTAGCAATGTATATTCGGGGGCGCTGCCTCGGCTGCCGCACTTGAGGGAAATTGCATTTTATTGTGCCAGGGACAACTTTTCGCTTTTCCGGCATTTCCATATTTCATATTTTCACACAATGCGCACAAAGGGAGGCGAAATGGAGGGGAGGTGGAGGAAAATCCGGGGGAATCTGTGTTCTTTGAGCACATTTGTCGCGCTGCAGTTTCCGCTTTTTTAGTTGCTCCTCCTTTGTGCGGTTTTTGTTTAGCCTCCGGTGAAGTAAAGTGATGGTGAGGTGATGGTGACTCCTGCTGCCGAATGCTTAGCAAGTATTTCTTGCTCTTTATATGGTAATAAATGTCAGACTTCGGTTAGCCCTTGGCAGCCAGCAGGGGAAATTGATTTTCCTTGCCGCTCCACTGGCTCCACATTGTGATGGCCAGGTGGTTGGGGTTCTGGGTTCTTTTTTCCGTCTGGGGTCATTTGGCGATAAGCGCGTCAGCCTCGCTCAAGGTTGACATGTTTCGGAAAGAGGGTGGAGTCTGGAAGAACCTCCTACGAAATGGGATTCCAGCTCATCAACAGCCTGGCAAAGATGTGGCAGATTAAGCCCCCAAACGAAAGAGACGTCAAATTATCGAGCGAAACAAAATAGCAAATAAAATAGACCTTGTCAACGGCAAACATGTGTTTCTTTCAGTAAAAACTTAATTTGAAAAATCATTCAAAGTCGATTTACAAGAAACATCAATCAATAAATCCCTCAATCGTTTATAAAATCAAGTTGTAGGAGAATAAAACTAATTTGCTGACTCACCAAAGTACAACCAAGTGCTAATCAATAAAGAAAAAAAGCTATGTACTTTTGCCGACTCACTTATAATAATAAAATTAAGCCAAACAAGCATCAATCAGTGGGGAAAATTCATTAGCAGAAACAGGAGAAATTTATGCAGACACAATATAAATGTCTTGGCTAACATCTCAATTACGGAAACATCTTTAGTTGTTACATATGTCTCGAGCATGGTAATATGATTTCAATCATTTCTCGAAACTTGCATGATTAATGTCTTACAGATTCCTGCCCCCCCAGGAAAGCAGCTTCTAATGGACTTTATTGCCTGGGCGGTGGCGGCGAATGGAGACCTCATTCTTGGTTACATACATATGTCTCCTTGGGCCTCGGGATTGGGTTCGTTTTTCATGCACAGGCCGTAGCAGAAACTAAACTACAAAGCTAAGACTAAGCTCCAATAAGTTGGATGGGTTGGAATGGGGTAGAATAGGTCTTTCCCCAGATGACACCGCAGCATATGGGGCGGGATAATTAATCATGGTACGAACGTGCCAGGACAGCCAAAAACTTTTCACCCCCTCTCAGGATCTCCAGGTCCCAGGATCCTAGCAAAACTCAACTGAACCGTAACACATTGAATCGAATCGAGCGAAAAATTAAAAGCCCCGGCTCTTTATGATGCCAAGGCGAATATTCATGGCTGGCAAAAGGGAATATCTGATTAGTTGGCCTCTCGAATTTAATTAAGGTGACAGGACAGACTTTGCGGCGGCAGCCGGATGCATCATCCTTGGACCTCCACTGCCAACTGCTCCTTCTCCTCCTGATGTCGCCTCATTTGCCTCCGTTGAATAATTTATGCAACTCAATTAGGCGTTGACCTGGCGATAAAGTTTAATAATTGCAGGTGGTGTGGCGCCCTTCTTTTGCTCGCACTTTAATTAAAAGAACCGAGCAATTAAAAACGCATCATCGGACAGAGCTCAACGAAGGGCAGAAAAAACTCTGGGTTGGTTTAAGCGCAGTACCCCGACTACAAAATACCTGGTATTTAATTTAAATAATATTGTGGTTTCAATATTTGTAATATTTGTGGTGTTATTTTTAAAAGAATTCTGAGAAATTTGGTTTTAAATATTGAGGATATTCATAGCAAAAAATGTATATTAAAATCCAGCAAAAGGCTGATTCCAATATACCCTCGAATTCAGTAAAACAAAAAAGAGCAATGGAATCACAATGTAAATGTAATTTCCGGAGTGAGGAGGGTGCGCTAATGGGGCGTGGCACTTTTTTAATACAGTTAACAGCAAAGCGTTTCGGCCTTACATGCAAACAGGGGCACACTGGCGCGCCCTTCCTCTTGCGGGAAATCCAGAGCCGAAAAACCGCAGAGGGAACGGGAACCACTGTAACCGCGTTTGCTCCACGCAAACCGTGTTTGCGGGACCTCTCCGCTTTAACCACCAACAGACCGCGACCACGACTGCAATTAAAATGGAGGAAAACAGTTCCAGATGAGCCTTTGTGCATTTCCCAGTCCTCCGATCCGCCGGCATTCCCAATGCTATTCCTCCTTTTCCGCGGCGACACGCGACTTGTTTGCACATTCAAAAATTCCCCCGCGAAAAGCCACTGCACTTTCCATTTCCCCGGCACTTTTCAATTGGCTTTGTCAGCCAAAATATTCCTGCAACTGGCACGTCTCTGCCATGGATTTGCAATCATCAATTTCAATTGGATTTGTTTGGCGCTGCCGCAAAACTTTTATAACCCCCCAGTAAAGTGCAAATTTCGAAGGCAGCTGGCACTCTCGTTTTGAAAAATAACAGCGATTTTTCAGCACAGCGCTGCTAACTTTTTTTAATCAATTCACGCTCCCAACGAAAAATATCGATATCGATAGATTAGGACTTGTCAAAGGCCCGCTCTGCACGCTCGAATTTGTATTCGTGTTGGCTTATACAGCAGTTGTGTTTGACTGCCATAAAAGCAATTCATTTCAGCCTTTGACTTTGAGTAGCCACTCATTGCATTATGAACTTTTCGAAAGCAGCAATTTATGTTGTTTATTACGCTTCGCAAGCAGCAGCCGCATGGAAAAAGTTAAGATGTTTGCCAAGAGCTCATGGGCGCGGACGAAAATAGTTCTTGAAAGATGGAATAATCAAAAGCTGTTGGCCAGACGGAACAATGAAACTATTTTTAAATCGGAAAAACAACTTTTTAATAAGTTTTGGCATTTGCAAAACACAATAACGATTTTTGCGACTAAAAAATATATTATAGTTTGCCAATTTTATTAAATAAAAAACCACGCTAATATTTTAAATCTTTTTTTTTTAACCCTAAACCCTAATCCGAAGAAACCTTTTCCAACACTCTATCGCTTCGTGTAGAGCGGCCCCAATCTGCCAATCGAAGTACGTGCACACTGTCAAGTTCCCATTTCCTGTTCTTTTCCTCCCAGCAAATCGCATCACGTGCGTCAGAGCTTGGAAATTATTCACCGAAACTTGTGCTTCGCAAATCCCCCGTTTATATTTTATCCCCAGCGAAATGGGCAAGAAGCAGAAGTTAAAGAAGGCCGCCCAGATGGCAGCCACCGCGACTGCCGCCGCCGCGAAATTGCAGAAGGACGACAAGGAGAATTCTCCACGAGGTGAACCCTCAGCCGCTCCAGGCTGCAGTGGTGGGCAGAAGGAGAAGCCCTGCAGCAGGGAGCAACTGGACCCCGGCTACTGCAAGAAGCTCAAGAAGCTGATGGATTTGGCCAACCAGCTGCCGACCAAGGTGATGAAACTTCAGCAATCGGCGGAGGAGCAGCAGGCCGCCTCCGTGGAGGATTCCAGTGGAGGCGGTGAGTCCACCGATAGCGATGACGAGGCCCCCGATCTGGTGGAACTGGAACGGAAGGCTTCCCAGCTGGGTCAACTGAGCCCGCTGACCTTGCGATCCGCCGATGGACCAAAGCATTCGCGCGGCGAGAAGAAGGCCCGTCGCATGCTCATGAAGCTGGACCTCAAGCCCGTGGCGAACGTGACCCGGGTGACCATGCGGAAGAACAAGAACATCATGCTGTACATCCAGCACCCCGAGGTCTTCAAGGTGCCGCACTCGGAGACGTACATCTGCTTCGGCGAGGTCCGCGTGGAGGACATCAGCAGCTCGGCGGCCGCCTCCCAGGCAGCTGCCAAGGCGGCCGAGCGTTTCCGTGTGCCCACTCCAGGCGGTGGTGAGGAAGGGGCAACTCCGGCCGGGGAATCTCTGGCCGACGAAGAGGAGGATGATGACGAGGAGGTGAACGATGCCAATCTGGACGAGAAGGACATCGAACTGGTGCAAATGCAGGCCGCCTGCTCCCGCAAGACGGCCATCAAGGCTCTGCTGCGGAACGATAACGATGTGGTCAACGCCATCATGGCCTTAACTGTGGGCTAGCCCCGCCTCCAAAGAGGCTAATCGATATATGGTAAACCCAATTTCGAAAACACAAATTGCACTTTAGTGACACGTTGAAATTCAATTTATGGATTATAAGTATTTGATATATCTTCACTGTGGCTTAAAACCTGCTCGTAAAATGTTAATCATAACTTGTATACTAAATTTTGAATACACCAAATTCACTACAGGAAAGATTTTTAAACCAATAAAGTTTTAAATAACTTCAACTTCTCTTAGAAATATTATTTTTGCTACACAATTTAAAAAAATTTTTATTTTTTATACATTTCCTTAAAAAGAATTTTATTTTCTAACTTCCCAAATTAGAATGATAAATTTCTATTTAATTTACAATCATTTTCCGGTAAACGAACATTTTGGTGGCCATTTAAGTCTGCACATTTCCTCTTCGATTTTCTTGCTTTATTCAATGCTTGTTGTACAAGCACAACAACTTCCGGTGCCATTTTTATTTAGATTCATGGAAGAAAGACTTATTTGCTGGGGAACGCATTTCCTGTTTTTGAACATTTTTAGGAATTGAGCGGAAGTATCCCTTTGAAGCGTTTACGAAAAGCTTCACTTGCAGACGGCAAATTGGTTCGTTTATTATAATTTCCTAATGAATTGACATTTCCCATTTTAAATTTGACATAGTTAAATAGGAGAAAGTTTTTTTCCAAAGCGTCAAAATGTGTATAAAATTCGTATATGCGAAACTGTGCTGTTTTCCTTTTATTCGCTCTTCCATCAACGCTAGACTTTGCCAATTTTCCTTTCAGGTACTGTCATTCTTGTCCATTTTCTTTTGTGGCGGAAATTTAATCGCTTCTTTCTTTGTGCCGCTGACGCTGCACTTTTGTTTATTCTTCACTTAGTTTCAGCCGTTTTGGCAAAGTCTCCCAGTACTCGACTTTTGGATTTTTTGCAAGGGAATTTTCCTGACGACGCCTTGATTGCGTTTCTACTTTTTTGAGGTGGAACCCCCCATATTCCCAGGCGAGGAGAGGACAGGTGATGTCGCTGCTGGTGACGTGGCTTCATAAGCCCTGCTCCGCGGGCATTCCACTCAATTAAAATGGCTTGACTTTCTTGTTTTTTCGCTTATATTTATTTTTTGTTTTTTTGGTCCCAGCAGCGACAGACAATTCGCAAAGCCACTTAATAAATAGCTCTCTGGCTCTCTAACTTAATTTTATTTAATTTGCAGCTGTCGTCAGCAGCCGTAAAAAAGGCTTTAGTTTTGCATTGTGGGCGCTCAGCAGTCCGTGTGGCTGGGCACGTGCTCGCTTTTCCGCCGGAAAAGTGGAAATGGAAACTTTGTAGGTGTGTTCGCAGTGCGAGTGGAAAATGCTCGCGCGTGTCGGCTGCGAATGGAAAGTTTTTAGGGTTCCTAACGTAGGCGCTTCCATTCCCCTTGGAACTTTCTTCGCCGGAAATTGATTAAGTTGGTTTGCCTTTAATCAGTGGAATTGAAGATGCTGCCGAAATACAAATCACTTGACAGTCGGGCAGCTGTACTGCGCAATTTACTGTCCAATTCAAATGGTACTTTGAAGTACTTTCCACTCGGACAGCGAACTACGGCTATTTCATCTCGTTGCTGGCCAAATCCCAGAAAATACGGCAGCAAATTCGAAAGTTGTAAAATGCTTAATGGCATCATTTAAGTCTAGGATTCATCAACTACGAGGGCAGGCTTCCTTGGAGAAAACTGCTTGCTCTGCTACACATGAAAATGTTAGGTATACTGTTGTATATTTTTTAAGGATTTTAATTTAAATTCTAAAAATAGTAGATTAAACTATTATTTTTTTTATATAAATAACTTTATGTATCCTTAGAATAACAGCTTGTTTTAAATAATATTTCTTTATTTAGTAAGGTCTTCAAAAAGTTTTTTTTTATTGTTCTGTATTTTTATTGTTCGATTGTAAAAGGTCCTTTATTTTGAACACAACATCATAAGATTCCCATTGTATCCACTTGGTCCTAAGAATTTACCATATTTCTTTCTGTGTAGGCTTAAGGACTTCCTTTATCTCAGTGCTCCACCTTCTGTTCCTGTTTTACAAGACTTTTCTTAGGCATAAAATGCTCTTGGTTTTCCTCGGCGCTTATAAACTTTTCCCTTTTGGTTTTGCGGCCAACATTTGGCCTACTGGCCCGTGCGCTTGAGAAGTTTTCCTCTTCCTCGTGGTTATTCATTCACTTTCAAGTTGATTTGGGTTTCGCATTTCGGTGCGCATTTCTTGACCAAAATCTGCAAGATTTGTCTTCGCCTGCCCGCATCCGTCGGGGCAAGTTAACCTGCTTGAGTCGGGGCTTAAGGATTCGGGATTCCCCTTGGCTGACTTCAGTGGTTGGGCCCTGAGTTCATCTTTTTTTAGAAGGGGCACCACATATATACTGCTGAGCTAATCATGACGCCGATGATGTGGCTCCCTCTTCACCATATCCATTTCCCTCGGTTGGGTTAAATGTCGAATGCCGTGTTGCCTTTGGACTTTGGTTTGAAGTGTTGGCAAGCTTTTGCCATTTGATTTGACGCCTGTTGTTTGCCTTTCGGAGGAGGGGCAAAAGTGGGTATGGGATTTCGAGAGGCTGAGCATCGGAGACGCCACACCTGGCAGGCTGTTTCGCCTGCACTTTAGAGCTCTTCGGGGCTCCTTGGGGTTCTATTATTGTGAATATCGAGCACCTGGGCACACGAAACGCGCAAAGGAAAGGAAAGCGATTTCCTGGCAGGTGATTTAAGGCCACGACAGGCTCACATTTCCCGGCCTTTGTGTAATTGATGCACGGCTCTGGCTAAAGGATAACAAATCGCTTCCATCCTGACTTCGCATCCGCCCACGGAACACCGAACAATGTGTACAATTCGCCCACCCTCAAATACTCGATTCATAATTCCTTTTTTGGCCAGCCCAGCGTGAAAGGGATTTCCGGCGTCCTCAAAAAAGCAGGACCTCTCCGCCCAAAAAGCAATTAGATAAACTTGCCAGCTGGATTCGGCAATTGAAAGTGGGCGAAAGTGGAAAATTGCGAGGGGCAGCTGGGAGTGGCAGGACAATTATGAGAGCGAAAGGATGGGATAATTCAACAATTTGGTCGGGTTAGGGGAATCAGCGTGGAATTATTCTCCTAAGTGCAATGAATTATGACTTAATGCTTGAGCGAATAAATTATTCTTACGGGTCTGAATGGATTATTTCCTTTGTTTAGACTACCTACATAATTCATTTGATAGGAGTAGGAATTTATTTTAATTATTTAAATGTTAAATCCTTAAATTCCTAACCGGAAACAGAATCGTTTTCCTATATCCCATACTAATCTCACCGAAATTGCTTTTCTAAATTGTGATTGTTCTCACATATCTCACTTCCATCTGGATTTAATTGTTGCAAACATCTAAACCATTGCTTTGTTGTCGGTTTGTCAGGTATGCAGCATCAGATAATTCTTTTTTTTACGGGGCTTTATCGTCATCTTTTCCATGTAAGGCAAATTGCTTTTCCTTTGCCAAATTGTTTTACAGTTCAACCCGAAAAGTTTTGGCATTTTACAGTTTACCTCTTGGCCCTTTTTACAACCCCATTTCAGCATCGCAGCAATTATAAGCTGCCTAGGGAATATTCAAGGAATTTTGGTAGCAGAGAGGGTCTTTTACCAAAACCCAGTTCTTGGAGGTGCTCGTTAGGGAAAGCTGCTTATGTTTCCCCTGAATTTTCCCGCATGCAGAAAATTCTCGCAGTTAATAAGCATTTCCGTTTGCTGGAATTCATGTGCCATATTTTATTCAGATTGCGCTTCATAAATGCAGCTGGTGAAAGGAGAGCAAAGGCCACGGATAATGAACACCAGTCAGCACTGGGGTAGAAATTTCCATTTCCAGCGAACTGATAATGTTGTTAAAGTGCATACATATATGGGGGTGGGGTGGGGGTGGGTCTCTAAGAGTGGGCGGGGAAAAAGGAGGCGGGCTGCGAAATCAATTTCGGGAAAAACAAATTGCGCAGCTTGTTACTGAAAGCTCTGTGAAAATAATACTGCTGCACTTTCTGCTTTTATGATGTACTCTTTTCCTGCCCGTGTGCGCTTATCTACCCTTTTAGCGGTGAAACTACTTTTAATGGGAAACTGATAGCGGGCCATTTTCCCATTTTCGATAAATAATGTTTTCCTAATTAAGTGACCTTTTATCACGACACCTGATATGAAAACTCACTTCCCTTTCGCTGAACAATTTCATATTAACTTGTGAAATGCCAATGATTTCACGGCAATTGTCATGAAAATAAGTGATAAATACGCATCGAGATTCATTTGCATTTTATAATTGAATTTATGTAACCAATATGCCTGTCTTCCCTTGAATTCTCGAATTAAATCACACCGAATCTGAATTGAGTGCGATTCGAGTTTCCGCCCGAGTGGACTGTGAGTGCCGTTGCCTACTTTTCAGGGCCCTTTTCCCTTTCCTGGCCGCCGATCAACTTTATTTATTTTTCTTGTCCACTACCTGTCGGATTTACTTAAACGCATTTAATTGAAAGCGCACGACCCGTGCCATTTCAGCTGGCGTCCATCGAAAGTAACGTTTGCTGGGGCAAAGAACATCGTATATCAATTTAATTTCGAATGGCTAACTCTGTAAATTGGCATGTGTCAATATTAACAAATAGTCAAAGCTTTTGCTCTCACCAGAAATGAAATATCATTTCCCCAAGGCTGTATTATGAATACTGAAATTGTCAACTTTATGAAAATGTGAATGTTAAAGCAAAACTAATATTGTCCGGATTTTATTTGTGTTAATCTCTGTTTTCCCCAAATTCGTGCTGACTATGATAAAAAAACGTGTATAAAATTGTCTTTTTAAGTCTAAGGTCGTATACTTAATATTTTTAAAACATTTTTATTATTAAAATATTTTTATAAAAATATTAAAAAGACATTTTTATACAAGTTTGTTCGAAAACTAAATAAATTCAACTACAATTTTATATTTTTAAGAAACACACGTTTGTGTATAAAGGATCTAGATTAGCCCTTATTATACACATCTGGTCAATCCAATTCTTAAAGAATAATATCATGCTTCAAACCAGGACTTAAGAGATATTTATTTTAAAATATATTTTTAAATTCTATACAACAAAGGTTAAACATTTGTTTCACTTTTTTTCTCCTTTTTAACTTTAACATACATATTCGCTTCTCATAACCTAAATGAATTAATAACTCATAACTTGTATAATATCTTTTATTGTGGCTATTAAAATTTCACAAAATCCGTTATTAAAATATATTTTATTTTAGGAAATGTATATCAAATACTTAAAAACTATGCCTCTTAGTTAAAACCCCTTTACCCAGCAACAACCTTTTTTAAAATATGTATGAATACAAAATTGTTTTAATTTTAATTTACACAAATTAAATATACAAAAGTTCTTTTAAGGAATGTATTTGCTTGTGCCAGCATAATTTTCACGTTATTTACTTCTAAATTGTACTTTTTTCCATCCCACAGATATGAGGAATTGTAATTGTTTTAATTTACTTGAGTGAAACGTGAACATTTTTTTAAAGAACTCATATCAAGTAACCAGTATGAAATCCGCGTAATTTACTGTCAGACCTGCATTTAGCTTAGCAAGTAAAAGTTGTGCTTGCAAAGTGGACCAAGTTCCTGCCCCTATTCCCATCCCCGTTCCCATTCCCATTCCCTTCCCCTAGACTCACCGCTTGAAGTGCCGACGGCTGGCATCGACGCTGGGTGCCATATGTTAGGCTTACACGCTTATCGCACCAGGAACAGAAACAGAAACCCTAGAGCAGCCGCAGGACTCTTCGTGGCACTTGGAGCCACTGGGCACTGGCACTCGGTCGTCGGATGGCTGCTGAAGTAGCTGGCGCAGAACACTGGCTGGGAATCCACCGCCTACTTGTTGTAGGCGGGCACTTTTCTTATTTAACCGCTCAACACTTGGCGCAGCGTTCGCTGCGCTCCGCTCCCCAGGTTGAACTGAACGGCGTCGATGGATTCAGCTGCCCGCGGAGCGTTTTGAGCATCAAATAGCGCACGGCAACAGCAGCCGAAGTGGAGCCGAGCAGAGCCACCCGAAGTGACTTTCCAGCTGCTTTTCCAGCTGCCTGGGGAAATGCTGGAAAAGCAAGCTTCGGCAGCTTTTGCTGTTGCTTCGCCAGCTGCTGCCATGGTCCGCTTTTCCGATTTTCCTGTTGCGCTGTCAGCGCGACGCCCACGCGATGAGCTTTTCCGCGCAACCCACGAGGAGCTTTCCCTGAAGGCGGCGCCTACGTTTCGTAGGATTCGGGACCGAGTTCGCGTCGGGACACTCGGGAATCTAAATTCTCTCTCGCTTCCCCATCCTGGCCATCCCGCTCTCCGGGCCCCCAAGGCGTTGCCAAAAATAGCAACAGCGCGAAAGTTCCAATTGCCTCTCCTACCCAAGAACAGAGTACGGTGAAGACTCTATAAGTTTATCCAGATTTTTCGAGAAAAGTTTAAGAAAGTTCAAGAACTTAACTGTTTTACCTTCTGGTTTTTATGTAAAATTTTTTTTAACAATTTAAAAATAAATTGTAGGTCCTGATAACTTATTTTATGAAGTACTTTTTTGAGAAATTAAGTAAACTTTAATTATCATTTTAAGACTTTTTTAAAACTATTACTTATCAATCCCTACTAAAATAGTTTGATAAATATCAAAGATAGAATAATTTATCTTTTTTACCACATAATTATTATACTTGATTTTTTAACTCATTTTATTTTTCATTTCATTTTTATTTATTATTATTTATTGTTTTGACTTCCTAACGCTACAAGTTGCATAACTTATAAATTACTGCGCTAGTCACAACTTTTTTCTCTTATAGAATTTCTACTGCGCCTGCCGAATTTCCTTTCGATTTCGTTTGTGGATGCTTTCCATTTTCAGTGTGCGGACTACTTTCTGTCTGCTTAACAAAGTGCCAAGTCAGTTTTGGAGCTCAGCTCACGACCAACAGCAACTGTTCCCCCGAAATTGTGTCGAAAATTTTATAACTTGATATATCTGCCCGGGCTATTTTTAGCACTGGCTGTAGGTGTAGCCAGGGTTGCCATTGCCACCATTGATTTTTCTCACTGTTTTCGTTCTTTATGCTCCTCCATACTTTCCCCGCCCCCAGCTTTTCCGGGCTTTTCGGCTGTTGCCTGACGCAGCGCCTTTTATGAATGAACTTGGCTCACATAAGCATTTGTTATAACTCCCAGCCCCCCAAAAAAGAGGTGGCGTTGCACCCTTCGTTGGAATTATGGGGTTTCTTTTGGGAGACGGGATACGGGGCAACCCTAATAAACGCGTTTTCAATGTCACCAAAATGCTTGCAATCTCATTAAGTAAATGGATTGCCCTTGTCGTAGACGACATAGTCGAGGTTTTGTAATACAGACATTTGTCCATATGACGCCATTGTATCGTGTATTTTGTATCCTTAGCCTGATGTCATGACTGAGTGAGTGTGTGTGTGTGTGTGTGTCGACGTCTTTCGCCGTTTGTGTTTGTGCAAGGATATTGTTTAACTGGGGCGCTGGGCTCCGTTGGCGTATGGAATTATGATTAATATTTGTTCAGTTTAAAATTAATTGCGTTCAGCTATTGCCCCGACAGGCGTTACATACCATCGCACGCCCACTAATCCAGCCACTTTTTTAGCCATTTATAATCCCATAGACGAATGCCTGAGGTCAGGCTATCGGGGGCTCTAACAAGAAGAACCTGGTTGGGATTGCACGGAGCTGCCGTGAATGATTACATGAAACAAGGTCGGCCCAGCTAATTAAACGACGTTACGTTACGGTAATGTATTTATATAAAAAGGTAGAGCTAATCTGCGTTTCCTTTGATGATTCTCCCCAGGCGCAGATGGGTCTCATTTGCAATTAAAAGGGATATAAATAGATTCCAAACAGTTGATTTACTTTCTTATATAATTTCTTGTTATTATAACACATAATTCGCAATGAGCGCAGGGTTTACGAGGTTAAAATTTAATTAAATACAAGTAGGAGTCCACTTTTAATGTTGAGTAGGTTGTGTAAAGGCTTTAACTTTAGTTTAACGTCACAGAATTGTTAATCTTAAATCACTTACTTTTCTTGGAAATTAAGTAAGAATTTTGGGGTGAATATTACGTGTTTGATCAGCGAGTAAAGTTTAAAGTTCACGAAAGTCAATGATTGTCAATCTTTTAAAAGGTTCGAAGTCAATTTTAATTTTAAATATCTCGCCCCCAAAAACCCTCGGTCAAAATAAAAGGGCGAATTTAATATTCTGGGCCAAAGTTAAAGCCAATTTAATTCACTTTCAGCCTCCATCAATCTTTGTTATGCCCACAGAACGGAAACTTGTTTTGCTTATTTGTTCGTTCGGCCCGGAGTCAAAATATTTGTGCAATTGCTAGACTTTGTTTTTAGGGGGCCATCAAAATATAATGCTATATTCATGCATGTTTAACTGTTACGGCTTCTGGTTGAATCGTATTTGTATCTGGTTCTCTGTTGGTTTAGTATTAAAACTAAAGTGGCCTCGTAAGTTTGACTTTTTCGGGATGGGATGGCAACCGTATTTGTATCAGTGGCGGATGAGCGCGCTTTTATGCGACGAGGAGCCTTTATGAATGCCCATTTTATGAGCCGACTTGTTTATGTTTACGCGAAAATATTTTCGTTTCATTTTTAGTATGGCTCCATAAGCTGCCACGCCCCCTCGCCGCCGCCCTCGCTTCCGGTTGTTGACGCAACTCTTAATCAAACAGCGGGCTTTTGTGTGACATTTATAGCCACCGTCCGCTGGCCGATGTCCGATGACCAGGGCTATATTTAACGCACTTGTGGCTGTGGACCACGACCTCATCTTTGTCCTCCTTATTTCTCACAGCCTGCATACATATGCCATCGGTCATGTCAGCGGCATTCAATCAATCGCCATGAAGTCGACACAAAGCCCACGCCCAGCAGGTCTCTGTTGTTGATGAATGAGTCAGTGGATCCTGCGAGTCCTATTCCCAGAATGACGGCTATGGCAACGGCAGTTCTCTCACATATCCGTGCTCGAAATACAATCGAGTCACATGTCCTGCCGCCTGAGGACGAGGACAACAACAAGTGGTGGCTGTGGTGGTGCCCGGTCATGCAGTGAATCCCAATCCCCGGACAAACAATGTCATAAAGGGATTGCACGGTAATCAGAAATTTCGATAAGGCAGGGACTGCATCGAGAGAGGTAATACATATGCACATGATATCTGATATGTGGGTGTGAAGTTATTATAAAATGTTTGTCTCTCGATATACAATTAATTGTTGTACTCAATTTATTAATATCTATGATTAATACATATATCGTATCATGATAAAAAATACAAACCATTCAGGTTTTGCTTATCTATTTTTGATAATATGACAATGGAAAATCAATATATAGGTCACTACGCCTCTCTAACTTTACTTTAACTTATCCTTACAATTATTTAAGTTAAATGTATTTAAATAAATTATCAGAAATCAAAATATTCTGCCAAGAAATAAGCTTATAATTGTTAAGAAACAAGTGTAGAGATTCTGCACTCAAATATTACGCATACGTAAATTACGTATACGTGGTAAACAAATTATAGCCCATCTATATACTGCTAATCTATATAAAATGCTTAATTGATGGTTATTTACCATAGCAATCTAATTTATTTGTGCATTTAGTAATTCCGCATGTTATTAAATTTATAGGTTAATAGATAGATTCCTGAATCTGACTATAATTATATTCCATTATTTATGTATGCAAATATTAATAGAATTATATTTTGCACAAGCAAGCAAATGACAAAACTAACTTGAAGAAATCAAGAAGAGTACCAAATTAATCAAGATTCCACTTAGTACAGCTCTTAGTAATCGATTGGCACCTTGACGTTTCATCAATACTCTGAACGATCCGCTTAATTAAATATTTAGAGTGACCCCCAGTGAGGAATTTTGCAATCAAGAAGCACGCGTCATTAATTGCTTCCCCCTGCATTCCCATTGACATCCCAGGGTATTCGATGGCAGGTGAGGAACACTGAATGGTTTGAGTGAATGGGTGCACGCACCTGTTGCGAAAAGGTCAAATCACTTAGCCAACTACTACGGTTGGCGGCTGGTAACCCTATATCACACACATATAGCACTACGGGCTAACAAATGGCTTTCGACTTACCTCAGTTTGACATTTATGGCGTGGCTCATGTATTTGTTTACTTCATATTCAGCGCAAACGAACGAAGACATGCAAATTGATGTGCGGTGATTATAGGTTTTTATATTAGTTAAGTACGTTTTTCTTAAGTGTCCTGCCCTCTCTCTCCAGTTGCTTTTTCCCGTTGCCGTTTGCTGTTTGCTCTCCTAGGTAGATCGTATAAATTTTGATTAATTCTCCTGTTTTATGTACTATATATTATATATAAAAATATATATATCTATTTCGTTAGCAGCACTTCTTTTTGACGCAAACAACGTCAGCGACTGACGACAGCAGCCTGAAGCCGAAACCTGAAAACCAAGCGCTTCGAAGACGTTAAAGAGAGTTTTGTGGCCAAAAAGAGAGAGCGAGCTTCCAAGAGCACCGGCTATGCTGCGATTGTGTGGGTGCCTGCGTGGTTGTGTGGGTGTGCTTGCAGGTGTTCGCAGGCGCACGGATGACGTGCGATTATTTGTGGCCACTGGGCACTGGCGTCTAATTGCCGCCTTGCTGTTGATATTGGCCCACATGTTTCAATTTCTTGGCCACAGGAAGGCGAAGAAGAAGAAGAAGAAAAGTTGAAACATTATTTAGCCCACGCCTTTGTGAAAGAGGCGTGTTTCCCATAGAGAAACTGGGCATTTAACTACGCAATAAGCTGGTACACTCGCACTCTCAAAAAATAGGCCTCAAGTTCTCTGAAGTCCCCTTGTTTTTGGTCTCTGGCTAATTGTGGGCGCGTGCACAAAACACGCAAAACAGAAATAGCCAGGAAAAGCCAAGCCAGGGGAAATGGTGGAAAGCCGAGGGAAAATGCTGGCTGGTTGCAAAAACATTAGCAGCATATGGCTGGCTGACATTTTGTGTAGCATACTTCTGGGCTGTCACTTAAAATGTTCTTTCACACACACACTGCCGCACTTTCACATCCACACACACACATGCTCACTTAATGAAGTTCAGTGTCAAATTTTTCGTTTCGCTTTCAGCCACAAAAATAAAACACACACAACCGAGCTTTTCCGTCGCCATATTTTCTCTGGCCAATATTGTTGTTTTCTTTTTAGAAAACTGGTAAAAATGTTATTTAAAAACAAAGACTAACGCCTCCTTACTCTAGTTTTCTTTGTTATTTTCTTTTGATTTTTCGTGCTGCCCAAGTCCTTGCTGCTGCTGCTCTTTTCTGGCTTTTCGCTCGCGTTGACCGTCAGCCGAAGGACTGCCTGTCCTACTGAAGCGCCATTCCTCGGCAGCCTCGCCTCGTAGTCGCTGCCTTCGTGGACTCGCAGCTCGGAGTTGGCTCTGCTCGTCTGTTCGCCTGCCAGCGTATGTACTGTACAGTGTGCCCTCCCACACACACAGACACACACACACTCACTCTCGCACGCACTCAGAAGCAGTTCCCAAATTCCTACGCATTTCGCTTACAGCACATGTGTGTGTGTGTGCTGTAGGTTAGGCACACGCACTATTAAGAGAAAGCTCGCCAAGCTTTCACTGCTTTCACAAATGTGGTAAAAATTACAGCACTCGAGAAAGTAACTATTATATTTTTAGGTATATTCTGATTTGAAAATTCATCGTTCTAAGTGATCATAAAACTTTTTATAAGATTTCTATCAACCTAAACATGTGTTGGTATAATAAAAAATGTATTAACTTTATATTTTAAAAAAATCCTTGAAATTTAAATTTATTTATTTAAAATTTAATTATTAAAAAAACATTTTTTTTTTTTTTTTTGTATTGATCTTTTATAATAAGTTGTATTTATCGGAACTTATTACAGAATTTATTAGAAAAATTTTGTATCAATATTTGAGTGCTATTAACGTGTCCGCAACTGTATTTTGAAACATTTTTGGAGAGTAACAATGGAAGAATTAAGAGTCAATAGTCAGCGATTGTAGTTACAGCAGAGTCTAAACTTTTTAAAACCCGGTAAAACTTAAATATACAAGAAAATAATATTGAACGTATAGTAAGTCCCTGGAATTTTACAGGGTATTCTGGTAGCTTTTTGCAACAAATAAGCCTCTGGAATCGAAGGGTTATCTCCCCCAAAAGCTGTCCTAGAACAACAACAATGGCCGGGCTACGCAAATATGCCGCCCACCACCCCAGCAAACCATTTGACGTAGGTTGACAGCTGTTTGCCCTGGCCAAACTTTATGGCTATTGATTTTGCCCCGAATTCTGAGTTCCGAGTCTGGGCGCAACAGTTTGAAAGTCGCAGCTTTCACTTTCGTGGCCCGAAGCCGATGATTTCCGAGGCAGCGCCACCCACTGCGCCTGTCCGTTGCCTCTGTGTTAGTGTGTCAGAGCGGCGCCTGCGCTGGTTTTCCGTGCGGAAAAGCTCCGTCGCAACAGCCTGTTGCCGACGTAGGCGGCACCCGGAGAATAGCCACCCATGGCAGCCACTTCCAGGTGGCGCCAATGCACTGAAAGAGGTCCTCTTGGGTACCCCCTTCTAACTGAAACCCCCACCGAAACCTAGACAATGACCGTGCACATGCCAAGGCGTCGCAGTTGGCTCAGCAAATTAATTTGATCACTTGGATAAAAAGCGAGCTGCATGCTAATGCCGCTTTAATGAGTTCTGTTTCCGCCTGAATGAAGGGATTATGACTGGCGGTGGTTGGTTGGCAAAAAGGGCTCAGAGCACAATCGTTAAACGTTGAGCTTTGCACTTTGCGGCAAGGGGTAAGTACTGTTTGGCAACAGGTTGCCAATGGCATCCGCATCCGGCGGCCATTATTGTTCAGGGGACGGGAAGCCATTTTGAATGGCAGGCAGGAATGTAGGCAATGAAAAGCGGCTGAAATAAAGTGCTGCATACTTGACGGCTGTGGCAGCTTAAAGAGGAGAACCACTCAACTGTTTAAGATTCTTGAGTGATTTTTTATTTAATAAATCATAAGAAATCGGAAGAACCTGCCCAAAACCCTTATGCCCATTAAAATCAATATTTACTCTTACATTTCATGTAAATCTTTATTTATTTCATTCATTGAATTCGTGTAAATTTTGTTGGTATTCATAGTTTATATTATTTTGTCATAGTTGCAGGCCTTTTCTTTTCAATTTGTTAGCAAGTCTCTAACTATAATAAGTGGCGGCAAAGTTGCATTCAAAATTTTCATAAGTATTCATTGTTTGCGTTTTCAGTTAGTTTTTTTTGGGTAGTTTAGAATATGTACTCGTGTCACTGTTTCTCTCAACAGTTTTCAAGTCAATCTCATAAGATAAACAATTTCGATTTATGCCATAGATATAGTTCTTGGTATGGTTTCGAACGAGTGAACTAAAAGCGATGGGTGGACATAAACAAAAGTCAATGAAATTTCATAAGTTTTTGATTCTTTATTTTTTATATTAACTATAAATTTTGTTTCCTTAGTTTTAGGCTCGCTGTAAATACAATTTCTAGTTCGATGTCGAGCTTAGCATGAGTTAGCCTTTTGCTTGTGTATGTGGTGTGTATGGTATGGGTATTCTTTTCTTTTTTGTGGGGCGTGATGCAATGCGGGATGTATGTGCTATGGACAAGGCCAAAATCAAATGGTTATCATAATAGCCTACTTAAAATTTGGTTAAACGCTAATTTACACAAGATACAACTAAGTAATTAGAATTAGGCTTAAAAAAACAGACATTAGCACTGTACTTAGGACTAAGGTGATGTGTTTTGTTTTGTGATTTAGTTTCGAGTTTCTGTAGTTATATAGTTTATAGTTGTGACGGATTTGAGTGTGGTAACTGAGTGAAGACTGTGGGCATCACCGTCGTCTCATCATCGGTAAGGCAAGTTTAACAGACGGCAAATGGTAACAACAAATGTTCTGCTAGTGACGGTTGCTGCTCAATGCTCTCTCTCTTTCTCTATGTACAACGATTTCAATATGAGTTATGCTTAGATTTTGGTTTTCGTTTCAAGTCTAAGTCGAAGGCACTGATTCTCTACTCGGCTCTCAATTTAATATCTGTGTATCTGGCTATAAGTCTGTGTGTTGTGTGAGTTATATTTTCTTTTTTTTGGGGCGGGGGCGAGGTGCAACGAGTTCGCGGCACTTGCAACAACTGTCACCGATCTTTAGCTGTGTCCAAGTGTGCACATAAAAAATAATAATACATAATCATTACTAAAATGTAATTGAAATACGAGTGGTTTTACATTTAATTCCGTTGCGCTACATTTACATTTATTTACTTTGTTTATTCGCTAGTACCTTTAGTACATAAGATGTGCATGAGTGTAGTGTGAGTGTTCTTGGGTGTTCATTCGATTTTTGCTCTATTTCGTAATTGCTGTGTAATATTCTTTTGAATGCTGCCTCGTTTTCTAATTCGATTCCTTCGATTCTTCATTTTTGTTATTTAATTTAACGGTTCGCTTATGTTGTAACTATGAGTATGAGATGAGTTGAAAGCAGATTTTGCAAATGAGTTTTCTATATATTTATTCGCTTGCGCTAGTGTGTGTATGTGTGTACAATGGTGGTGTTTATGTGAATGTGTATATGGATGTGCTTGGTTTGGTTCAATAATTTAATATAATTTAAATATTTCTGTATTTAGTTTTGCGCTTCTGTTTCCTCGTCGTCCGGCGCCAGTTTAAACAATAATTTACGTTAGGTTTCGCTTACTTATGGATTACTAGATAAAGCATTGGATATAACATAAACTTGCATAGATAGATAATTGGATAGTTTGTAGGAGATAGCCGACCTAAGCCTAGTAGCAGAGCAGTTACAATAATTTCTCGTTCATAATCCGAACTCGCCGCGCCAGTTGCAATTTAATTTATACATCGAAAAGGGGCGGGCGGGCGTGCGTACTCTTAGATTAACATTCATTTAGTATAGCTTATAGCAAATCATAATACGTTATATGCATATATGTATATAGTAATGTGTTTTTTGTTTTGTATTCAACACAATTTTGTTCTGTGTACTCTGCTCGATACACGCGCACAAAAAAACAATTTCGACAAAAAATAAATGAAAATAATAACATAAAGGCGATATAATATGTTTTTGGGGGGAGGGAAAAGGAGATTTGAGTTTTACAAAAACTAAGATTCTACTCGTACAATATATCATAATCGGTATACAGTATATATAAACGATATCGTTAGTGTCGCGTATGTATAGTAATAATTATCATTCTAACATAGAGTTCAGTTTGAGAGTTTCGCTAATCTCTCCAAGTGTTTTCTTGATCTCTTTCAGTAGCTACTTTCATTTTCTCGATTTTTAACGCTTGTCTTCACTTCGATGTCGTCGGGGGCATCTAATTCCCAGTAGGATCCTTCGATCGTTTGTTTCAGTGGTCGAACCTAGGGCGTCTTCAGCAGCAGGATGTCTTTCTTGCGCGTGCGACTGGCGCTGGCATTGAGCCGCTGGTAGAAGTAGTTCCGCCCGATCTTGCGCTGCAGCTTGTAGGACTTGCCCGCCAGGAACCTGGTGATGTCCAGCACATAGTCGTGCACGTCCTCGTGGTCCTCGAGCAAATGTATCGATATCACATCGATTTTGACTTTGTCGAAGGGCAGCGTCTGCAAGATCTGCAACGGAAAAATATGTAAACCATTTAGCAAAAGTGTTGGGAAAGTTATGTTAGTCAGTCACTCACCTCCAGCTCATGCCCCTGTACGCCCAGACTAAGCAGATCGTATTCGGTGCGCTCACATGCCAGCATGATTGTGTAGAGCGGAAAGCATTTGACACGCGAGTTGAACCACGAGGTCTCCTCGTCGTGCAGACTATTGATGCGCACATCCTCGTTGTGTATGGTAATCTACAGGGAAAGCGGTGAAAATTAGTCACTGATTCTTCTATCCTCCATCTCATTTTACAACTCACCTCTTTGGGATAGGTATTGGGCGATACGCAGGCGTGCACCACCTGCATGCGCGCCCGCTGGGCATTCTGCTTGCGCAACGTGAAGTACCATCGCGGCTCCGGCTCCACCAGCACGCCCATCCAGTTGAGCTGCTCGCTCAGCCAGGGGGCCGTGATCAGATGGGCGAGCGGACCGCTCAGCGACTGGATCACCGCTCCATTCATCTTCCCGCCCACCAGATCGGCCACATAGTGGGCCAGCTGATCGGCTCCGCTGCCGCTACTGTTGCTGTTGCCGAACGTCGATCCGGCGGTGGCGGCAAGGCGGGGGGAATTGGGCGGCGGACCCACTGACGCGACCTTGGGCGACGCCTTGCCCAGGTACTTGCCCATGTGGATCTGGCGCAGGAATGCAATGAGTGCGGGATCGTCTTGCGCAACCCCATTCAGCTCGTAGTCGCGCGACATGTTCAGCCGAAACTGTTGATGGCGAATCTCTGCAAGAGGAAAATCGAATCAAAAGATCAGTTGCAAGTTTTAGGTTTTAGTTTTAGTTTTAGTGTGGTGGCGGTAATTGAATTTAATTAAAAGTTGTTGCACCACTGGACGCATGGCGTGTGTGGCTGAAGCTCTGCCACGCTTCGCTGCCAATTGGAGCGCATTGACCACATTTGCATTGCCAATTGAGAGCGCTTTAAAGGCGGTAATGTTGAATACTATCTGCTAAGAAACGTAACCAAAAGGACCTCAAAATCAGTTAGATATAACAAATACTAAACTCTCTAAAGTAGGTTTTCAATAAGATAACAGGATAAAATTCATTTTAAAGAACGGATTCTAATAAATAAGTAGTAAAACTTAAGTCATAAAGTTTTTAGGGAAATTTTTAGGCAAAATGCCAAAAAATGTTTAGGTAATAGTAAGAAATAGAGGAAGAGAAGACCCCATTGAAGGTCGGAAGAAGGAAACAGCCGCTTGGCTGTTACGATGACCTCGCCTTGAAAAGCGGCTCTATTTTTTTTTGGCCGCTTTGCCGGCCCATAAAGTATAATGAGCGCACGGCCTTTGATATTTAGCACATGACCCCATCGCCATCGCCATCGCCATCCCCTCTCCTCATCCTCACCGATTTTTCCCCGCCAAGCCAAGCCGGCCCAACCTGTCCATAAACCTTAGCCACAAAAAGCCAACGATTTGCCGTAGTTTTGTTTCAGTCGCCACACTCCCCGCTCAGTCGTTTAGTACATTCAGACACACTTGGGTTTTATTTGCTTTTCACACTTTCCTTGTGCCAATTTCCACTTTTTGTTTCGTTTTAACATGGCCTGGCCTCCGGCGAAACAAATCGTAAAAGCCGAAAGAAATTAAAATATATCAAATGTACTTGCAACAATTGCTGGCAACTTTGGAAAGGTTTAAGTTGCCAAAAGGCCAAGGTTTGATGATTACATTTTTGGACTTTCAGGAGTTAGGAACTTCTAGAAAAACTTCAAAGTGAAAGCCGTAACGAAAAACTAAACTAAAAGTCTATTCAAATATAACAAAATAAATCCCAAATTCCGAATAAAAATCAGGCCATTCCATTTTCATACAAATTTCCTAGAACCTTTGAAAACTTAAATTATGACCTCAAATAATTTAAATAAATTTGACAAAAAGAAATGTGACGTGGGCGGGAAAGCGTGGCAAACATCTCGCCAAATCGATCTTCCATTTAGGCTACTTATAACTTATACGTCATCATTTGTCGCTCCGGTTCGTCAGACGAATTCACATCGTTATGGCCCAGCCGCCTCACCCAAAACCAAGTCGTTATACAAATATATATATTTTTATATTTTATTTTTTTTTCGCCGCCCATTCAACGCAAATGTGCCATGCAAATTTTGAGCTAAAATTTTTATGTTTCGGTCACAAAATGGCCATAAAGTTTATTATAATGCATATACGAACAGATAGACACAGGCTGAAAAAGCCTGTACAAAAACAGTTGCCGGCCATTTAGACAAACCACTATAATTTAGCTGAACGAATAGGAGAGGAGAGGAGACATTTTTCTGTAATTTCCCAGACGAGACGCCCCAAAGGCCTCGAGTGAAAACCTGCACTAATTAACACCAAAAGCCGATCTTGTGGCAGGGAAAGTGCCCGGTTGGGGGAAATTTATGCGGCCATTAGTTGTGGAAATCTGATAGCCGATTGATGTAGGGTCTCGCATTACCCCGTAGCGATTAGAAGTCAAATGAATTATTTGATCATTTGTCTACCAGCATACAATATATATCCTCCTTCCAATTACGATCCTATACCCCCGACAGATGTGCAATAAAAATAAAAGCCGCCTTAAACCGTTAAATGCGAACACATGTAAATCCGATGTATAAAAACCGAAAATGGAAATGAAAGAAAAGAATGGGAAAAAAATCTGCCCTCGGGCGCAGCAATTTCGGTGTCAAAAGCTGACATTTCTAATTTGCACAAGGGGTCGTCGTCGTTTTCGTCGTCGTCGTGGTTCCGTTCAGGGTGGGCAAGACAAATGACAGGGCAGGACGGTCCCGAAAATTATATTCAATGGCGGCGGACAACATTACCCAGAAGGAATCGAGGAGCAACGTTTAATTGCGGTTAAGCGGCGGCAAACTTTAAGTTGCCTGGTTGCTCGTCGTCCTCAGGCGGCGGCGGTTTATTCAGATTATTCAGGGGTATTCAGGGGTAGCTCAAGAAGGACTTGCCCTGCCAGTGCACGCCCTTTTCAATAATTCAACAAAGGCAGGCAAATAAAAACACAGAAAGAGGGAGAAAGGCACAAGTAAGACCCACAACTTTTATGCATTTTCAATTGCGGCTAAAAGTTTATTAAAAAAAAAATAATAAAAAAATTTACACTTCTCAAAAAAAATTGTACATCAGTAACTAACAGGATTAAACGATTTGCAAGTATTTAAAGTATAAAATACTAAAAAAATATATTTTAAAAATGAAGAAAGAAAATATTACAAATATATATTTTGTAAATGCTAATTAAAACAATTACTTAAAGTAATGGTTTTTTCTTTAGATTAATTTATATTCAACAATATTAAATACTAAATCCTTTAACTTTTACATAAGTTACATAGTTACATTTCTAATATTCTAAGCCCCTTTATTTTAAGTGCATGTCTATAGAAGTACGACAAACTTCATAGTCCAAGTTAGTTTGTCTTTGTTTTTCCCTTTTTTGAGGGCACTGCGACGTGGCTGTCGTCGGGCAATGTTACCCTTGTTGTGTAATACATATCCGCGGCCTGAAATCGGGATCTGGAATTGCGTGCCCGCCCTGTGTTCCTATCCGCATGTCCTATTGCCACATCGCCTAGTAGTTCAGTTATTGATTTGTGCAACGATTCGGTTGGAATCGGTTGTAATTGCTTGTTCGGCGCTATTCAAAATGGCCTGTTTCCATGTTGATAACGACGAATGTTCCTACATGTCTTGCATGTGGCAACGCAAGCTCTGATTTATTTAGCAAATGAGTCCAAGAGTGGGCCTAATCTAAGTGGGTCGGATCTTAATCACCGCCCGCAAAAGCCCATTTAACTGTGGCGAAATGGAAAAAAGCCGCTGCAGGGCAAACTTCTGCATCACGTGATCAGGTGTGAAATGCATTAAGTGGGCGGAGAAACGCGGAAAAAGTGCAATCAAGAAGGCAAAACATGCAAGTAACACACTACGGGAATTAAAAATTAATTCAAATATTCCATATACCTACAAAAAAGTTTAAACCATAAATGAATATCTCATTTAGGAACTGATATATGGCCATGTAACACTCTAGATGATATATGACCCCATTGAAACGTGCCAAGAAACCTTTAACATAATAAATGACCCCGTTTTAATGTGTTAAACGTACCCTTCTCGACCATTTATCAACCCTGATTGAAATATCTCTCAACGAAATCCCGATAAAGCACACACATGAGGGCAGTTTTTCAGCTCAACTCAGTTCAGCTCCCCGCTGTTGTTGTTTTTCTTATTAACCTTATCGCTGGGCCATTTCCCAAGGAGAACCCACACGACGCCTAAGAAATTGCGCAATTGCAATGCAAAGCAATGAAAGCAGGGAGGGTTGCAAAACCCTAAACCCACATGCGGGTGTGGTATAGCCACTAAGGAAAGAAAGCAAGAAAGGAAGGCAATAAGTACAAGAAGTGGTTCCAGTTCCATATAGTCATCGTGAGTCCGCTGTGGCGCATGCTGTGATAATGCCATTTGAGCTTTGCTTTTCAAATTGAGCACTCGCTGCGCTTTTGACGTAGCCGATAGACGACGGCCTCTGATGGCTGATCATCTCCGCCGAAGCCACGCGAACGAACCACTTGCACCACAGCGACGAACCGCAGACCATGTCACGCAGTCCAGACGACGACGACGTCGGCGATTTCAACGCTGCGGGGGTGGATTTTCCACCGGTTTGGGGGCCATGCAACAATGTTGGCAACTGCACACGAAAATTATGAATCACAAGGCAAACTAAGCCGGGAGAGGGAGGAGTATTCCCTGAATGACATCCGGTGGCTAGCAGGGGAGGTTACTATATAGTATACACAGAAAAAATAGCTTAAAATCTAGCAGTCTGTATTTAATCGAAATAAGTTATGATAATATTATACTATCCCTCTATCATTCTATAAGTTTAATAAATCTTCTAATAATATTTCAGTTTAAATAAAAATAAAAGTTTAAAAATGTAACTTCTTACTAGGATTTTTGTTAGTTAGTCTAAATACAATCCAGATTAGTTAAAACTGCTTAGAAGTAGTCAGACCAAAGAGGTACTTGTCAAGACCCCTCTACCGTTGGAAACCTCCCTATAGACCGACTGCGTGCTTAACGGGAATTAAGTCATTAGTGGTAGTGATAGTATGTGTGTGTGCAATGGAGTTCAAGTTGTAAATTTCAATTAAAGTTGCAATTTGCAAATTGTCACCAATGGAGGCCAGACGACAGTGACAGTGACGACGACATCGTGTAATCACCGCAAGTGTGAAGATAATGCCTTCTTAACATGATTAATGCTTTGACCTTTGGGGGCGTGTTCGATAGGGATGGCAAACATGATGGAAATGCACTGGGAAAAAACGGGGTATGACAATACTCTATTATAGTATAATACTATTTTTATAACTAGATATTTTTCTACTTCTACTACTATTAACTCCACAAATGGACTAATACGATGTGAAGTGCTACCAACTACTGTCAAAGGTGAGGCTAATGACACTGCACCTGGCCACCTGCACACTCCCCCTTTTTATTTTTTTGAAGAGAGCCACGAGCCATGTCAACAACAAGTGAAATGCGGCAACGTCGCCCGAAGGCGCGGCATGGCGTGTGAAGATGGCAACAGTAGTTACCAGTTACCAATCAGTTAAAAGTGAACGGTGAAACAGTGAAAGCCAGCTAATCGATGACTAAGTAATCACATGGCATGGCGTCAATAAGTAGGCTATGTTTGGATTATGGCACAAATCAATGCAATCCGAGGGTGAAATAAACCAAATTGGGTGACGGATATTGGAGGGAAAGACATATTATTGATGTTGGACATGTGTTCGACAGTCGATAGAAATGGAAATGAGTGGATGGAATTTGTTTATTTTTTTATATCCCTTAATTCAGCTCACTATATTGGTAAAACCAGTTCTTAAAATGAAATAACTTTTTAAGCCGTTTTGTCAAAAAGCAAAATATCGTTAAACTTTTAAACGGTAAATAGCAGCAGTAAAATAAGAGTTCGATAACCTCCCCTTATAAATATGATAAACTAAAACCGAACTCTAGTAATTTAATAAAACTATCAATTAGTTCTCGACATGATTGCAATTATTTTAAATTATAACTAATGGTTTCTTTTTATGCAAAATCATTGACCAACTTTCCAAGTGGATAAACATTCTAATTTTTGTACCCACATTTAATTATAGTTATTTAATAGTAGCTCTATAATTAGCTCTTTGTGTTTATTATTTCTGATGATTTCTAGAATCTTTCCTAACCTTTCCGAAATACATTTTCCCAGCCAAAGGATCACATACACCGATTACAAAATGCCGCCAAACATCAAATGCAATTTCCGATTCGGAATCTCTCCCTAGAGAAAAAAACTCAGTCATTGCAACAATCAAGACTGGAACGTGACTGTTACAACAAATCAAGGGATTGGATTGTGGGGGACCATCATCACCACTATCATTTGGTCATGAGAAGTGCCCAAGAAGTAAAGAAATATGGAAACAAAATGCGGCCGAGGCTGAATTTGTAACAAGAAGAGCGTAGGCAAGCAGAAAAAAGCGAGTGTGAGAGTTGGCATTTGGTATTTGGGTTCTGGAAAGTCATGGTCAGAGGTTTATCAGCTTGGGAAATTCAGGGGGAGAGGAGGGAGGGAGTTCGACACACATTCCAAATGCCACCGAAAGAGAAAAAATTTGTCACTTTAATAAGCGCATTTCGGGTTCGCTTTGGTTCTGTCAAGTGCATGATTTGAGGAAATTTCGAGCTGGCACCAAGCTTCAACTTTTCAACCTCAACCTTTGTTCCTCCGCACGGAACGTGTTAAATTTATATCCACTCTGCTTTTGTATTGGGGGTATAAGAAGAATACGAAGCAGAATGGGCAGAAGAAGGAATGCCTAATTTATGATTATTTTTGTTTATGAATCCGTTCGCTCGTATAAACCTAATAGAGCCATCAATGAGCCATAAAAATGGGACTGTCCAGCGGCAGCAGCAGCAACGTCAGCCGACAAGTGACACGCCCAAGTTGGAAACTTGGAGATATCATATAAGACCTTCCTCATCCTCATCGAATCAAAAAGAGACCCAAGTCTAGTCGACGTGGCGACGAAAAAACAAAAGAGTCGGATATTACAGCCAATAAGATGTTGAATTATAACCCCCTTCGAGCACTTAACTGAGTGCATGAAATTACGAATTTATAGCAAGAAATCAGCAGCAATCATCGTTTCGATTTTATACAGTTTTTAATGCCAATAAACCACGAAAGGAAAATAATTGGATAAGTAAAGAAGTCAAGTCATGAATTTAATATATATTTTTTGACATTTAATAAACCAATTTGAAAACAAAGTTCCCAGTAGAATTTAAAGATTATTCACTTCTAGAATCAGTAAAATTTTTTATTGGTTTCACCATTTTAACAAACTTTTCGAATATTCCTCACAATTTCATCAGAGATTAAAAATAACAAACAGAAATGACTAATCCCAAGAACTTTCATTCTTCCAATCTCATTAGCTCACGTGCTTAATCAGCTGGAAAACAACGCTGTTCAAATCCAATTTCCTAAAGAATTTGCATAAAATTCTAAAGACATCGATAAGAAAAAAGAAAACAATATAGGAAGAAGTTGGCGCTACGGAAGAAGTAGTCTGTCGTTAGCCCAAAGGAAGCAACTCAAGGGGGCAAAAAATCAACGTCAAAGCGAAAATTGCCAACACCCGAGTGGAATTTTAAAATGTCCCTCTAGAAGTGTGGATGTTGATTTTAACAAACTGCAACAACAATGGACTGACATTGATTTTTTGGGGTCTGGTCTGTGGTGTTTACTCTTAGTAGCCCTTAGTCACTCTGTGGGCCATATGAATCACTCAATAATACTCCGGCGCCAGCGTTGGCGATCCGTCGACAGCGAGCTCACATCATATGCAAAACAATTTCGCATGTAAAATGCTTTCCGCTTTCATTGAGCGCCAGGCAATCCAAATTAAGCAAATTTATTTTGTACTTTCGTACTAGTCTAGCTCGACGAGATCGCAACGAAATTTTTACAGACAGGCATTCTCCATTCGACGGGGCTGTAATTTGGTCTCGGCGACAACAGAATATTTTAGCGAATTAAAAGAAATTGCCTCATCCGACAGCTGTCCGCGATCTGGACAATAATGCGGATAGATGGCCAAGCTAACTAAGCTAGAATGCTGGGAATGCGTCATCTCTCGAATCTTGATAAGTCACAAGGTTTGCGATATGCCATTATTCAAGGGAAGGCTGTGTGGAAACGATAGAGCTTATAGTATAAACCCAGTGATTCTTGCAAATCAACTGCTGCCTTATCATAGAGAAATATTTGCAAAATGATTTCCTTATCGAATGGATGGTTGAGGAATGCGCAATTCCATATATCTAAATTTAATTATATTTTACTTTTAAGAATTTTTTAATAATAATTCTTCCTACTTCATCGATAACTAGATTTTTGTAGATATATCTTTGTTTAGATTATTTTAAATGTGTTTTTTAGAATGATTTACACTTTTCTCTCTACAAATTTTATTATAATTCTTAAGAAGCCACAATAATTTTTCTCTTGTTACCAAACAACTATTTAAACTCTTCTAGTTAGTCAACTAGCAATTAGATATTCCTTTGACGTTGGAGCGGCTGTCTTTGAAACGCGAAGGAGTAACCGGGGGCAAGCAGCACGTGTCTGGGCTGCCTCATCGATGGCAACGTTTTGGGGCAATGACAACACAGCAAAGCATTTTAAACAGCAGCGACAGCTGCGATATTGCCTGTTGCCAAGCGATTGCTGACAGGAAGCGCCACTGCGCCAACCAACGCAGCAAACACGCCCACGCCAAAAAGATATTGGCAAAAAAAAAAAAGAAGAAAAATGCAGACCTTAAATAAACTTCAGGGGGAAAAAAGAGAAGCGATCTATGACAAAAGATGCGCTGACGGCCAGTTTAGATGACGCGTAAACTAATCTTAAAAGTGTGCCCATTACCGGGAAAGGACAACCTTTTCTAAAACAAAAACAAAACCCAAAAAAAAAGAGGGAATGGATCTTCAGCCAAGGCAAACACAGCCTACATCCGGTGGAAAAAATTGTATTTGGGTTTCGGGCAAAGAACCGAAGCAGAAAAAAAAACTAAAAACAGATGACATATGCCAAAGATATCAAATTTAAATAAGTAAACACTGGACAGGATAGAGGATATATGTCTGTGGACTCACCTGTCGTATCCATGTAAACTATTAATGTGGCGAAAACAGTCGCGAAGGAGAGCAGGCACAGTGCGATGGGCAATAGCTGGCGATAGGGTGAGGGATTCAGTCGAGGATCGAGCTTCTTGGCCTTGCAGGATGCGGATCCTCCAGAGGATCCACCACCTCCTCCTCCTCCTCCCCCCGCACAACCCGCTGCCGTGAGATGATGATGATGGTGGTGATGATGGTGCTGCTGCTGCTGGTGGTGGTGTTGCCTGTGCGGATGCTGGATTTGTTGGGGCGACGTTCTCGCCCGGGATTCCATTCCACTGGATTTCTGGCAACAGTGCAGCTGCTGCTGCAGCGCCTGTGGCAACCGGGTGGGCGTGGAAAGGGGCGAGGAGACTGTGCTAACCGACGGCGAGCTGATCACGCTGCTCAGATCACTCTGGTCACCACCTCCTCCGTCTTGGTGATGATGCCTACTCGTTGTCGTCGTCGATGTGGCGTTTTTGTGGCGCAGCTGCACATGATCCGTCTCATCGGTGCCACAGTCTTTGGTTGGTTGCCGGCTGCCGGTTGTCTCCTTCTCCTTCTGCTGCTGGCCAAAGTTCACCTCATCCACATCCTCGCACTCGATGTCGTCGTCATCGTCCACCGCCGCGTAATTTGTTCGCACCGGCAGGGTTTTCCTGGACTCCGGACTGATGGCGGGTTGTGATGAACTGGGCGCTGTGACTTGCTGCTGGTGGACTCCGCTCAGGGTTCCCGATCCGCCGGCACAGCTCCTGCTCAGCGTGAACTTCTTGGGCGTGGCCTTGGCATGCCGCCTGCTCTGTGCCGCCGCCGATCGCTGCTGCTGCTGGTAATGATTACTACTGCTACTCGGGTTGTTGTTCTCCTCCTGTTCCGCCTGCTGCAGCTGCTCCACCGCCAGCGCTGGATGCGCCGAGAACACTTGCTGCGACATGACCACTTCTATGCTATGTGGGTTCCTTCGATCTCGAATGCCTCCTGGTCACAAGTAGCCTCTCCTACAGCCGCATCCTGGAAGAGAAGAGAGAAGAATCCAATTAGTACCAAAGCGAAAACTAATTTCATAAAGTGCATTGAACTGAAGCATCATCAGCATCCTCGTCCCAGCTTCCTTACAGCCAGCTTCTTCTCCATATGTCTGGCAATCTTTTGTCTGCTCCTTTGCTCCTGCTGCTGTCTGAACTTATTTTCATTTTTATGAATAGGCAAAAATACAGCCCAAAAAAATCGGAATAACCAGGGGAACCCAAACATAAAACCCAGACTCGAACTCGAACTCAAATTCAAACTCAAACTCGAACCCAAAAAAAAAACCAAGAGCAAAAGTCGCTTCAAGACGGAGGCCCGAAGAAATTGAATACAAAACTCCACCACCTGTCAAAAATCGAGCGACTGCCAGACAAAAGAAGCCGGGTGCGAAAGAGACGGCTTCTCAGCCAGACGCTGCGAGTGCGAGCGAGAGCGGTTGATTGCCAAAGAATTTCAACAACAACGCGAGGTATTTTGTGAACCAAATTAAAAAAGACACAGAACGAGAGTAAGCGAGATGGTGGCCAACGGAGCACCGGAGGGGTGAAAATGCATTGCAGCGAGGCATGAGAATTATAAATGGAAAAGCATTGAAGACGACTGACTACCAAGACTCACAGAAAAAAAAAGAAGAAGGCGATCGAGCGAGGAGGGAACGGGCCTCCAAGAAGGCGGAGGGCCACAGTGGAAGTGCCAGCCGTTTTGTGTACTAATGTGAGTACCTACAGCTTGGTGAAAATAATTATTCATTTCAATTCTTTCCGTTTTACAATTAATTTTAAAAACCGAATTTGGAAAATTTTGAATAAGAATCTTAGAAAAGATTGAATAAATATTAGAAAATTATTAGTTTATGCAGGAGACTTCTGGCTTAAATCCTTGCATTGCCCCTTAAATATTCTCTACATACTTTTAACAGAAATGTTACTTTTATTAGTAGTTTCAGTATTTAAATCTGTTCTTTACCCTAAGAATTTTCAAATTATTTTAAACATTTAAAAAATTAAGATCAAAACATCAAATATTTTGAAGATTTTATATATTTCAATAATGTTCCTATTATTTTGACCATTTACGTACTGCTGTAGTGCCGTGTACTTGTGCGCCTGCGCAACAGACGCGCAAGCGAGAGAAGCCATGCTCGTTTTAAACGGGAGCGAGTGAAACGGCAAAATGTGCGAGTGGAATCGAGTTCATCAACTGGCAGTGGAAACAGCAGATGTTTTTCCAATGTTTGGCGGCTGTTGCTGCTCTTGGCTCTTATTCATATTGTACCTCTTCTGCTATGCCCCCACCCAAAACCAAAAAAAAAAGGTATGCACAAATTAACAAGAGATTTGTAATGGACCAAGCAACAGGCCGGGATTGCAGTATGGTTTATTTTTGGCCATAGAAACATTCTTGCAAGATTGCTTTATGAAAAACAAAATCTTTCATCATTATTTAATTGCTATTTTTAATATTACCGATTTTTTACCACTCTTTCAGAATTTAATGTACTATAATACGTAATTTCCTGATAAGATCTCGAAATAATGAAAATCTTATAGATTCTTTCTGAATATTTTAAGGGTATCTGAGTATCTCTCTAGTCTGGATAAACCTTCCATTCATGTAATACCTTCTCTTTAAGTTTTTGCTTTATGAACCATAACGTCTTCTGGTTTCGATGTTGTAGTATTTTTTGCTCTGCCTCGTAAAGCTCCTTTGTGCTAAGGGCAAGGCTGCCATCCATCCAGCAGATTCGGAATACGAATCAGAATCAGATCGCTGACCAGCAGCGGAGTCGTGGTTGCATTGACTTATGTGGATGCCGCCGCGAGGCATTCGCGCATTCATTATCCATTACGCGTGCGCCCAGTTCTTTGAGTCTTTAAGTCGGGATCTTGGGATCCCCATTCTTAACTCGACAACCACTTCCCCTCAATTCCCCCTGGAGAGCGGAATATGTTTTGTATGTTTTGATTTGCTGGAATTTATTGAAACATATCCCAGCGAAGCCGGGTCTTCGAGGTCTGTGATTAAATGGCCTGCTGTTGGATGCTCGCATTTAATGATACTCTTCCCTGCCTTCGTTTCGTTCGTTAAACGTTATAGTTCCTGGAATGTGCTCGGCTTAAATGGGTCCATCTGAAAGATAAGTCAGGCATCTGCAGGTTGCAATTGCAAGTGGGCAGTCGGAGAGCCATTAAATCTCTTAAGGAGCAGTCCATTTAATCGATATGAAGCGTGTTATTAGCCACTAGCGAAAATATATACTACATTTCTTTTGAGCAGAAGCATTTATAAACTTTACTTTTTCCCACAACTATCAGCTTTTTAATCCCATTCTACACACTTTCTGCCAAATGATTTTCATGGTATCGAACAATTAAGATGCATTTTCACAGCTCTAAAAGAAACTTCAAGTTTATGGACGCGTTTAATGGGCTTTTAATTCAGTAATTAGTTGGCTCCGTCTTTGATTTGCAGTGCGTAAATAAATCGCCATGAAATCGAATTGAAACGGGGCGAAAAACTTTGAAAAGGGCCGCAGATACATGGTTATATATCTGGTGGATAGCTAGATATATAGATACTGCAGGCGGTCGGTCTGGCGTGTGATTTACGGCTTGTCGCAGCGCATGAAATCGATCGATTTGAAAGAGCGACGAGAGGAAAAACAAAAAAAAACCAAATAGAAAATCAGAGGGAGCCGACATCATACGGATGTATCTATGCATCTCTATAGCTATATATCTATAGATGTATCTGTATCTCTATCCGTATATCTATCAATAGCTGTGTGCGCGCTTTTGCCGGCATCGCTTTCATTGATGCTGCCCTTTTTTGTGTCTGCTGGCTGTCTGGGAAATTGTTGACTTGGCAACACCATCTATATAGCTGTCTCTATATATTCTGTGACATAGGCACCACCTCCCAGTTGGCGCCATTGGAGAGGTCACCCCGAGACTCAAGTGGTTGGGGAAGGGGGGATTAAAGATTTAGGAGACCAAGGCGATTTAGGCCTTGCAATTTTAGCCATTTCGCGTTGTGCAACATATTTTGCGGCCCCAGTTCCGAGAATCGCCAAGCCAAGCTGAACAAACAACAAAATCCAGGGGGGCAAAAAGGAAGGAAAAGGTGAGCCAAGGTGGGACAAGGTGGCACAATCACAGAGAAAAATTAGAACTAAGTATTGTATTGAATTAATTTTAAAATCTTTTGATTTTTAATAAGTCAAGAGATGGTAAACCTTAGTTATCCATAAAATATCTTAAGACTTTCTTACAAACTTGATTTTCAAAGCTCTAGATTTTTGAAGAACTAGAAAAAACCTATCATCACGTTTAAATATGCAGAGAATTCTATCGGGAAAATCCCCAGATTACAGAAGTGAGCAAGCATTACAGTTAACCGATTTTGTTGATTTTTCTCTCAGTGTAAGAAGCAACAGCAGCAGCAGAGGAAGAACCAGCGAGCGAACATGCCACAATAATGTTTTGCGGTTAATGATCGTGCGATGCGAGGTATACTACGTATACGTATAAATGTAACACAAAGCCAGAAAGAGAGGGCGAACGGCACAAGACATTTTGATAAAACATTTACAAACGCACTCAAGCAGAACTCCATCATCCCAGCCCGGTACAAAAAAAACAACAACAACACTACCAACACAGTTAGAAGGAAGGTATAACCACCAAGCTAAATTCTACAAAAAATAAGGAGAGAACAAAAAGAAGTAAACCCAAGAACAAGAGAAACAAGAAGCGTTGACGATGGGCAGCCAAGTAAGAAAAAGGCAGGCAGCTCGTAGAATTATTCTGCTACGCTTTTAACCATATGGTTTATTTATACAAAAACACCAACAACGGAGGAACAAGATCAAGAAGTGGAAGGCAGGCAGGCCGGCCACTCGCCAACATTGGTAACAACAAAGTGGCAGACAATAAAAATGCAATTCTAAAAAGCCAGCAATAACAACAGCTCGGCGAACGTTGCACATAGGAATTCTTCTTTTTTTACACTTGGCACTGGGAAGAATTGAAGGAACGAGCTGGCCAGGCGATCTGGGGGATTACGAAAGTTTGGTTTGGGATTCCTTTTGAAAATATACAAGTTCTTTAGGAGAAAGGAGATTCAGAATGTGGACTTTTTATTATTGAGTTGCAAATTCTTAATTATAATGTTGAACCACATATTATTTTAAGAAGCTCCCTTAATTTTGGGCAGTGCTCGCTTACCTTTTCCCTTAATTTCCTAAATAGACCCTAAAAATGTACACTCCCACTTGTCTCCTTAAGGACCACCATAAATAACTGCCCCATTCCTGTCAGATAAACTCACAAACGCCTTAAGTGACCACCGACCCTCTGCCTTCAGCAAGGCGGTTCCCTAAAAAGTTGTTGAAATTTTCCAATTGCTGCAATTGTTTCAAGTACTCAAGCCCTTAGCAAGAGATCTTCCCCTTATTTTGTATTCTTCTGATGGCGATGGCTACTTAGAAATGAGCTACCCCGCCACGCTGAGCGCGCTAATGAAAAAATTGCTCTCGCCAGGTAAGGCAAGAAGGTATTTCGGAAATTTATTGGTAGCACACAGAAACGTGAAAAAATACGAGACTGCTGGCCAAATGTGTAGCATATGCTGCAGTCTTGCTATAGTGGGTAAATGAAAACAGGGACTTGGTAACTGGTAAACCTGGGACCTGTGTGGTCGTCGAGGCGGCGTTGACTTATCTTGGCTTGTTTATCGGCCAGCGTCGTCGGCGTCGTCGTTTTAATTGTTTGTGCCCAAGGCGTCGGTTTGTAGGAGTTTGCCAGCCCAAAAAGTTGGCCGGCAGCAGCGGCGGCACCAGCTACAACGGTTATTTCAGCAAGTCGTTCTAGTAAATTAGCACATAAAAATGCGGCTGGAAAGTTGCCAAATAAAAAAGCGGCAGTTGAGGAATCTAGGGTAAGTTGGGAATGGCAAATGGCAAATGGGTTCCATTGCAGCCG